GTTCAGAAGATGAACGTCCAGCTACACCAGACACTCCAGAAACAGCAATTCCTGCTGTAGACTTCACTCATCCAAGCCTAGGCTTCTGGGCGGCACCATTAGGAAACAATGAGATGGCCAAGCCAGCTGTCCCTGCTTTGGGTGTTCCTATAATTGCTGAGGATCCACAAGCGACTGGAGCTGATGACTTGCCACCTATAACTAATTTGTCTTACCTTGATGACCAACTGCACTCTGGAATTCAGCTAGATCAAGTGTCGTATGGCATTGAGGAAAGGAGTATTAGGGAGGATGCAACACAAGCACCTTGGCCGAGTAAGTAACTTGGCCTCTTTGCTCAAAAGGTGGATAACGCTATCCGATGGATGAGTCTTGGTCTGCTAGATAACTGAAATTGGTTTCCCTAACACACTGTACTTTTCCACTGGATACTGATGTTGGCTACATTCACCGAACAAAAATGTTCAACCGGATGAAGATTTGTGCTTTTAGGCGTTCCGTTTACACGGATCCACCCTAACTGTACCAAAAGTTATACGCCTATCTATTCTAAGTTCCCTGTGAACAGGACGAAAATATTTAATGGTCCTGTTTGAACAAAGTGCCAGGTCAAATTTTTCAGCCAGTCAAAAATTTGTTTGGTACCATGGGGACATAGCCTTCTCTACTTTCCCTGTTGGTACCAATGTGGCGGCTTTCTATGGAGCCCTACATACTGATGTGAAACATTCCGACAATAACTGAAGTTGGAGATGTGGCAAACTCCTGAACTTGATAGTGACTTCTTTTTTAATCTTGTCAAGTATCACACTGCCTTGACTTCATTTATTGAACGGTTTTAGATTTTGATTTGTAATTGCACGACCATCCCAATTATTGTTTGTGTTGGCTGCCTTGTCTTTATTCTGACAGTTATCATTGATATTACCTTAGCCTTAGTCGAGGAAGGTTTCTTCTGTCAAACTACAACCTCTGAAGAACGTGACTTACTAGAGAAGGGTGTGGAAGAAAAAGCTTATCTAACCGATGATCACTATTACTCAGTGTCTTCACATGACAGTGGAGAGAAGTCCAGGTACGTGTATGCACTATGCACAAGTCGTCAGTAAGGACGATGATATTTTAAGTTTACAAGATTTGCATTGACTAGATCACACAAATTTAGGCTGATTCAGCACTAAGGGCCAAGTGTTCATAGCATTGATGGAAATATAAAAGTAACAACTTAAAACTTTCAAAGATCCCAAAAGCAAAATGGAAGAGTGGATGGGCAAGATTAATGTGGATTGCTTTTGGATAAATTTTCAAAAAAAGCAGCAGCCTGATTTTTCAAAGTTACCTCAATTTTTATCAAAAGTGCCATTTATAATGCCGGGAGTCATCTTTGACCAAGAGTCTGTGGTGTTACAATTCAAATGAAACCTCTTCAGCAATACTTTCGGATGGTCCTATTTTTTCAGAATTTTACTAAATGAAATTTGGAAATTTTGTTGAAGTTTGACTTTGCCACTTTTGGGAGTTGAAGGTTTATGTGTCTCATGGAGTTAAGTGATTTGCCCCAGTTAAAAACCAACATTTCTAAATTCCAATTTCCCCAGAAATCAGGAGAACCACTACGTAAATGTGCTTCCTATCTCTACCTCTAAATTGTCATTTATTTATGTTTGTGTTGTTTACGACAGATATGATCACGAGTTTGCTCAGTCTGAGGTGTTTGACTATGGACATGGCCATAGTGAAAAGCAGAGTACCTTACAAGGAAGCAGTGGTCATACAGACTCAAGAAGCACACACAAGGTGATCCATATTACCCAAAACTTAAACGTGCTGTTTTATTTTCTATGGGCTGTACTCTAGCAGCGCCTGGTGGCCTGTGGCGCCTAACTTTTGCTCATGGGCTACTAGAAAATCTTACTTTTTTCACACAAATCATATGCTGGGCGCCTTGGATTTCACAAGTTCAGAGCACTTGGCTTCCTTCCGTTTTTCTTGGAGCACAGCCTTGAAAACGTAATAAACATTGTCTAATACGTGAATCAACAATTAGAGGGTTTAGGATGACAGTGTTTCAACAAATGTGATGAGTATAATGTATTGTAGCTTCAAGACTTTTATAAACATCCAACAAAAACGTGTTAAAGACATAAAGCTATTTCTTGAAAATTGTATGGGGTTTAAGTCTGTGTGAGACAGGCACCTCAGGTAAGTCTCTGCTAAGTACTAGTGGGATTTTGCTTTAACGGCAAAGCTAATTTATAGCAAAAACAGCACTTTATTGAGTGTCAATGTATTTAGCATTAAAGTATTAACTGGAGACAGTATTTCAGTGTTTGTACAGAGTCTTGAATTCTTGAAAAAGTCTTGAAATTTGCCTAGAAATTTCCCAGACCTGGAGAAACTGTGGAAAATAGAGGTTAAGTCTTGAAAAAAGGGAAGAAGTGTTGAGTTTTCTTGAAAGCTACAAGTGCTGCACAAGTGATATTTTTTTCGTGTTGGTCAAATCTCATTAAATCTTGCCTGCATGGAAAAAGTCTTATTCCTGCGTTTTTAACATCTCTATTGACCACCTACATGTATTTTATAACCTTGAGTCTGGAGAAAGAAATTATAGTTTTGGAAAAATTCTGGAAAAAGTCTTGTATTTTAGATAAAAAATCTGTACGAACCCTAGTATTTTTATGTCTCCTAGTGGAGGTGGGACAGCCATTTTACGTGGTCATCAGAGCCAGAGTAGCTTCATTTCTTCATTTAGTTGAGTATTGGTCCAGCCCTGGAAATGAAACTTGTGACCTCTTGCTCAGCAGTTAAGCACACCGTAATTTTTAGGGAGTTATTATAACTCCAAAGATGGAGTAAACATTTTGATACAGGATAACCCCTTTTTGGGGGTTATTTAAACTCCTAATTTAACTCCGAATTTGGGGTGATTTTTATTCCTGGAAAAGAGTTCTTTTTACTCCCAGTCTGGAGTTAAAATAACTCCGAAATTGGGTTACTTTTACTCCTTACATGGGTTGTTTTTACTCTTTTTGGAGTTAATTTAACTCTGAAAGTGGAGTAAAAATTTTAGGTGCAGGATAACTCCTTTTTTGGGGTTATTTTAACTCCTCAATATGTGGGGTCACTTTTACTCCTGAAAAAGAGTTCTTTAAACTCCTTTTTGGAGTTAAAATAGCTCCACTGTTTACCCCCTCTACAGGAGTTATTATAACTCTTGAAAATTACCGCGCACTCTACCAACTCAGCTAATCCGGCTTTTTCAAACCTCCAGGAAAATAAAAAAAACTGTTTTCTATCAAGAGAGTGTCCCAACCTCATTTTAACACCATAATTATTTCTTTCACTTTGCAGGATTACAAACATCACTCTTCAACTCGAATGTCACGATATTATCCTTGGCAGAGTCATGTGGAAGAGAAGCGCAATCAGATGATAAAAATTCTTACGGGGAAAGTCAAATGTCCTCCTTTCAATCCACAGTAATGTCCACAGAGTCTTCCAGTAACAAGAGCAGTAATGTGCTTAAAACTCAAAACAGAGATCAGCTTGTGGAAGAAAACATATCCTTTCCTACTTCCTTAGTAACAAATTATGTTACTGAAGCAGAGCAAACAAGCATCAAAGCTGTTAAAAAAATCTATGACATTCTGAGAAGCAATGCTTCAGAACCACAGGCAGAGACAAGTATGACAAACCAAGAGCCAGAGAATCCATGCAAACAGGATGAACCAGACAAACCTGATATCCCTGAGCCTGATGTTCACATGGATGAAGGTGGGATAATTTGACGATGTTGTTAGGTTGTGGAGGCAGACAGGCAGCAACAGAAAGAACTTGAAAGGCAACTTACTGCACATGTAGAAAAGACAGGCATAGTTTGTCTGGAGTTACTTTTGCGTAACATTTGATGTAGTATTAGTGTAATGTGGTTTTGCTTATTTTTAAATGTAATGTATATTTTAGTTTGTATATTTTCCGTTGTTGTTTAGTTCATAGAATCGATTAATACAATGTTTAGTCAAACTGTGAAAGGTTTGAACCCAGGAGTGATTTCATAAGTAGGTTGAGCATGATTGTCTGGTTGAATGTAGTCCAGAATAGGACTGTTGTTGACAGAACCAACAACAGTGACAGTGACTGACGCTTTGACAACCTATGCGGTAGTCATCATCAGAGTCAAAGTGAGTTGTATCACTTCAGTTGATGGTATTGACCTGATTGGTCAATTAAGTTGTGATGTTATTGGTCGTCTGTCAGTTAAGCCTTGATGTTATTTGCTATGAATACTCGTAAAGTCATTGGTGCATTTCGATCCATCTATTATCATAGTTAAACAGTCATTTATTTTGAGTCAAATTGTCAGTTGCCCAATCATTCTCTTGTAGTTAGTTTTGCTTGAGTCCATCAATAAGTCGTTTGTATGGTGCTGGTAACATCGCGACTGAATTGACCAATCAGGTCAATAACCAGAGTTTAATACCATCAACTGACATGATATAACTCACTTTGACTCTGAAGATGACTACCTCACAGGTTGTTGAAACGTCAGTCACTGTCAACAGCAGTCCTATTCAGAACTACGTTTCCCCAGACGAAATAGTTAGTCAGTTTGATTTTGTTTTAGTCTAATTTATTAAAACAATTCTCGTGATCTTTATTTCCCATAACTGCTAACAGTTTTAATGTCTATGCATTGCTATTCTTGCATCATAAAAGGAAACAGATTTTGTAGATTAGTTTATATTTTATGTATTACATCTCTTACTTGCAAAGTGGCCTTAACTTGTTTAATCAACAAATCAACAACAGGTTTTCATTGTTTACAATCTTGGTAACTATAGTAATGACATCAATTTAAGTCAGTTATCTGTCTCCTTTGGATTGTTAATACATAGCTTTAAAATTTCCTTTTCAAAGGTTGACTCCTTTGGTACTATCTTGAGGTTTTGCTCCTCCCATTTCCTTGCTAATATTGTTTCATCCGCAAAAATTTGAATCCAGGTAGGGCAAAGGAAGAAAAACTGCTCTTTAGTGGAGAGGAAAGTACCACAAGTGAACAAACCACTCACCTGGAGAGTGGATTGCGCATTGTTCAACTCCTTGACTTGGGTGGAAGTGAGAGTGAGAAAGAGAAGGACACGAGCGGTGGAAGATCATCTGCCTTGGCACCAAGTGAACAAGGGGGAGCTGGCACTCAAGAAGAAATTTCTGCTGAGTCATCCGAGGAATCAAAGAAAAATAATGAATCACTTGTGCCGCGTGTCACAGGCTTATCCAGAAAGACTAGATGGGACAATGTCAGTAACACCTCAGATGGTGACACTCCAGAAAGAGACCTTCCTGGTATTGTATCCACTTTACATCTATTGATAACAAGAGAGTACTTTAATTAGGGTTCTCCAGAAAATTTTAAAAGAGAAGGGGAAAAATAATAAGCAGACAGTAATATATTAGATTAAAAGACACAGAGCACCTTTCATGTGGCACACCCACTTATAATATTGACTCCCTTCCATTATGGAAGTCTTCCCCTGGGAACATTTATATTTGGTGGTCCTGAAAACTGCATTTCCATGAGTATGGTAACTTTAACCCACATTGGCTTCATTGTATAATTTTATATCATGTGTTTGTTTTTTCAACTAAAGTGTGGTGAAGTAAATACAAAGGATTTAGTATCCCTCTAAACATTTTTCCAGAGATTGGCCTATGTTTCTGTGACGACTAAACAGTGATTTTTACCAGTTGCTGTTGTCTTTGAATAACCCCTGCAATGCAGCTTAAAATAGTGACACGAGGATACTTTTTTGGACGAACGTTAGTTTTCTCCTAACAATATCCATACATCATCAAGAGAAAAAGATATGAGGATTTATACAATGATCACCCAAGGGAAAATGCTTTCATCTGTTGTCAAATTCTCTCATTTAATTCTTTGGTGAAATGTATGGAGATTAGTCTGAAGAATTTCTACATGGACATTGTGGGCTCAAGGGATTAAAATTAATGTAGTTGTTATGGGATGGTCATTTGTGGGGCTTCTGATGTCTTTTAGTATACTAGGGGTTTCTGTCAAATTCAAATATTATAATAACCCTCTTCAGGGTTGTCACTAAGGTGTCAAGTGGTCAGGTAAATACAACAAGAAGGCGGGGAATCAATCAGCTAGGGATTTCTTTTGGTTCCATTTTTCTTCTGTTTTCCTTTGAAAGAAGCCGGGGGCCACGTTCATAGTAGTGCTTTTGTAGAACACAATAAACGGTGACAGGGCGAACTACTGCAGCGTAGATTTCCTTTGCATGGTGACACTTGAGGCATTACAGCAAAGAATCCAAATGTTAGGATGTCAGTAGTTTATTGTAGGGGGGTTACTGGTAAACCCACTGACTGAGTTTCCCTTCATTGCCAACCTGAAATTGTTTCAAACCTTCAGCTAGCTCAGGTATCTTCAAAAGTTATTCAAACGTTTAATTCACTAATATAAGGAGAATAGGGAAGGTTGTTGAAATCCAGTGTCTTGCTCTAACATTCAAGGACCCTTCATACATTTGGTCACTTGAACAATTTTTTATAGTAGGAGATCATGTGACAAACTGTGTTCACTTGAGAAGAGCTTGTACATAAGAAGCTTTTTTTGGAATCGCAGCAGCAACTTTCATTAAATTGGTTCCTTTTTGTAACACTCCAGACACTTGCATTGTTGTGGTACCATAAGAGCTATATAATAATAATTGAAAGGATGTAGCTCTCATAGCCAGTGGTACTTTTAATTATCATGCCATCATAATGTTTATTTGTTTACTCTAGGATATTGCTCTGTTGGTATTAACTTCAAACAGCATCATTCCAAAACAACAGAGGCTGCTCAGAAGACATATCCTGATATAACAGCTGCTCCAAGGGAACCTAAACCAAAGACTGTACGTGATGAGGGAGACAGTTCAACTTCTGTTATTAAGAGTCGTCTTTCTGTGGTTACCCAACCCTCTCAGAAAAGAAGAAGGCACAACAGTACAACAGAGGGAAGTGACTCAGAAGAACGTACTACTCCATCTAAACGAAGAAGGCCGGATAGTCATGTGCGGAGAAGACACAGACGGTCCCCGGAACGACATAGTCCTGTGGACAGTACAAAGAAGTCTAGCAGAGACAGGTCAAGATCCAATGAGAGGCGTCAGCGATCTAAGCGTGATCACTCGAGAGAAAGGAAAGTCTCCTCAAGGATTGTCGTCAGTAATCAAACAACAAAAGGACAAACATTGAAGATAACCATATTACAAGGTCAGTGCAAAATGTTATTACAAAGCATGTACCTGGATGGTATTGAAAAAAAAAGTGAAGATTGTAATGTTCAGCAATGGTAAAACATTGATTGAATTATTTCTCTTTGTCGGTGTTTCCTGTTTTGTAGTTCCACACATCAAAATTTATTTTTGGTGTGAACCAGAAACTTAGGCAACTTTTCAAGCATCCCTGCCTTCTTACACTTTTAACTCTCTTTTAGTCCTTCCAGGTGATAAATGTGCGAAAAGAGAAGTATTATTAAAATTAATATTAAAAGCCACAACATGTTTTTTTAGGTGCATTGTATTTTTAAAAGTAATCATGATGTTGCATTTTCGCTTAGATCCCAGTCCTGAGAAGGGAAAGGTTGAACAAGAGAAGTCAGATCTTCCTAAAACACCTGAAGAAAGGCAACCGTCACAACAAGTAATGATGAGTAGCTTCCTTTCATGAATTAGCAGCCTGCAAAGAAAGTAGTGTCTGATAGCCTAGAGATAGTGAATTTTGCTATTGGGCTAGGGACTTCTGTTTTTAATTTGCCTGACGGGCAAGTGATGTTTTTTGAGGAATTCGAATAACAGAAGAACTGTGACATCAATGTTGCTCGTCAAAAAGCTTTTGGGGCTAGTTGAAATGACATCTGGGCTAGCAAATGCTACCTTCAGCTTGCCATCGTAAAAATGATTTTCTTTGTACCCTGATTAGATAATTCGCTACAGTTTTGTGTTGATACCAAGTGAGCAAAACTATCAGTGTGCAAAGCAAGTCTGTTTTAAAGCTTGCCATTCGGGCTAGCTTTAGCTGGCATTTACCAGCCCAAGAGTCATTTAAACTAGCCTTACAATATTTTTGATGAGCAGGATTGATTACAGTTCTTCTGTAATTTGAATTCCCCTGACCTAAAAAACTTCACTTTCCCCTCGGGCAACTTAAGAACAGAATTCACAAGCCCAGTAGCAAAATCTACTACCCCTGGGCTATCGGACATGCCTTTCTGTGCATGCTGACAAATACAGTCTAAAAGTGCTGCCAAACTGGTCTTATTTAAATAATTGGTTCTTTATCTACAGACTCAAAATTAGAACTGCTCCCTTGTTTTCACAATGTTAACTCAAGGAGAGACAACAATTATGGTTGCACTCTGCTGTTATGTTCGCATGGCTCAGGATCGCTTGTGAGGAGACAGTTTTCTCAGAGCCCACAATGCTGTGCTAGAATAAAGGCACCTTAACGATCATCAACCATATTTTATGTGGTTTAGATGCTGAATAGGGAGCAACATGTTTTTGACAAGTGGATTGTACTTTAGATAACACTGTTGTAGTGTGTGGTATTATACTGGTGTTCGGAAGGGCTCTATGTAGTTCATGTCACCACCTACAGTCAACTCTCGCCTTGCGGATGCCTCCATAAAATGGACAGCAGCTAAATCCCAAACAAAAATAAACTATAGATGTTTGACTGAAGTAAACTCTCGCTGTTACAGACTCTCGCAAATGAGGACACTACCTTAATGTCCCTACAGTGTCCGCAATAAAGGGAGTTGACTGTATTAAGCAATTTCTGCAGTGATTATGTTATGAATGACTCATAATTCTGAGAGTTTTAGGCCTACTTGATCTAATCGTACACTGTATTTGATTTTTTTCTATTGTTTTTGAAATACAAAGAAAAACCCTCTTGCTGACATAGAGTATAGTGACCTTGAAGACATCAGCCCAGGGAGACTCAGTTCAGAAGATGAACGTCCAGCTACACCAGACACTCCAGAAACAGCAATTCCTGCTGTAGACTTCACTCATCCAAGCCTAGGCTTCTGGGCTGCACCATTAGGAAACAATGAGATGGCCAAGCCAGCTGTCCCTGCTTTGGGTGTTCCTATAATTGCTGAGGATCCACAAGGGACTGGAGCTGATGACTTGCCACCTATAACTAATTTGTCTTACCTTGATGACCAACTGCACTCTGGAATTCAGCTAGATCAAGTGTCATATGGCATTGAGGAAAGGAGTATTAGGGAGGATGCAACACAAGCACCTTGGCCGAGTAAGTAACTTGGCCTCTTTGCTCAAAAGGTGGATAACGCTATCTAATGGATGAGTCTTGGTCTGTTAGATAACCAAAATTGGTTTCCCTAACACACTGTACTTTTCCACTGGATACTGATGTTGGCTACATTCACCGAACAAAAATGTTCAACCGGATGAAGATTTGTGCTTTTAGGCGTTCCGTTTACACGGATCCACCCTAACTGTACCAAAAGTTATACGCCTATCTATTCTAAGTTCCCTGTGAACAGGACGAAAATATTTAATAGTCCTGTTTGAACAAAGTGCCAGGTCAAATTTTTCAGCCAGTCAAAAATTTGTTTGGTACCATGGGGACATAGCCTTCTCCACTTTCCCTGTTGGTACCAATGTGGCGGCTTTCTATGGAGCCCTACATACTGATGTGAAACATTCCGACAATAACTGAAGTTGGAGATGTGGCAAACTCCTGAACTTGATAGTGACTTCTTTTTTAATCTTGTCAAGTATCACACTGCCTTGACTTCATTTATTGAACGGTTTTAGATTTTGTTTTGTAATTGCACGACCATCCCAATTATTGTTTGTGTTGGCTGCCTTGTCTTTATTCTGACAGTTATCATTAATATTACCTTAGCCTTAGTTGAGGAAGGTTTCTTCTGTCAAACTACAACCTCTGAAGAACGTGACTTACTAGAGAAGGGTGTGGAAGAAAAAGTTTATCTGACCGATGATCACTATTACTCAATGTCTTCACATGACAGTGGAGAGAAGTCCAGGTACGTGTATGCACTATGCACAAGTCGTCAGTAAGGACGATGATATTTTAAGTTTACAAGATTTGCATTGAATAGATCACACAAATTTAGGCTAATTCAGCCGTAAGGGCCAAGTGTTCATAGCATTGATGGAAATATAAAAGTAACAACTTAAAACTTTGAAAGATCCCAAAAGCAAAATGGAAGAGTGGATGGGCAAGATTAATGTGGATTGCTTTTGGATAAATTTTCAAAAAAAGCAGCAGCATGATTTTTCAAAGTTACCTCAATTTTTATCAAAAGTGCCATTTATAATGCCGGGAGTCATCTTTGACCAAGAGTCTGTGGTGTTACAATTCAAATGAAACCTCTTCAGCAATACTTTCGGATGGTCCTATTTTTTCAGAATTTTAGTAAATGAAATTTGGAAATTTTGTTGAAGTTTGACTTTGCCACTTTTGGGAGTTGAAGGTTTATGTGTCTCATGGAGTTAAGTGATTTGCCCCAGTTAAAAACCAACATTTCTTAATTCCAATTTCACCAGAAATCAGGAGAACCACTACGTAAATGTGCTTCCTATTTCTACCTCTAAATTGTCATTTATTTATGTTTGTGTTGTTTACGACAGATATGATCACGAGTTTGCTCAGTCTGAGGTGTTTGACTATGGACATGGCCATAGTGAAAAGCAGAGTAACTTACAAAGAAGCAGTGGCCATACAGACTCAAGAATCACACACAAGGTGATCCATATTACCCATAACTTAAACGTGCTGTTTTATTTTCTATGGGCTGTACTCTAGCAGCGCCTGGTGGCCTGTGGCGCCTAACGATTGCTCTTGGGCTACTAGAAAATCTTACTTTTTTCATACAAATCATATGCTGGGCGCCTTGGATTTCACAAGTTCAGAGCACTTGGCTTCCTTCCGTTTTTCTTAGAGCACAGCCTTGAAAACGTAATAAACATTATCTAATACGTGAATCAACCCATTAGAGGGTGTAGGATGACAGTGTTTCAACAAATGTGATGAGTATAATGTATTGTAGCTTCAAGACTTTTATAAACATCCTACAAAAAAGTGTTAAAGACAAAAAGCTATTTCTTGAAAATTGTATGGGGTTTAAGTCTCTGTGAGACAGGCACCTCAGGTAAGTCTCTGCTAAGTACTAGAGGGATTTTGCTCTTACGATAAAGCTAATTTATAGCAAAAAACAGCACTTTATTGAGTGTCAATGTATTTAGCATTAAAGTATTGACTGAGGACAGTATTTCAGTGTTCGTACCGAGTCTTGAATTCTTGAAAAAGTCTTGAAATTTGCCTAGAAATTTCCCAGACCCGGAGAAAGTGTGGAAAATAGAGGTTAAGTCTTGGAAAAATGGTAAGAAGTGTTGAGTTTTTTCGAAATTTTTTGAAATACAAAGAAAAACCCTCTTGCTGACATAGAGTATAGTGACCTTGAAGACATCAGCCCAGGGAGACTCAGTTCAGAAGATGAACGTCCAGCTACACCAGACACTCCAGAAACAGCAATTCCTGCTGTAGACTTCACTCATCCAAGCCTAGGCTTCTGGGCGGCACCATTAGGAAACAATGAGATGGCCAAGCCAGCTGTCCCTGCTTTGGGTGTTCCTATAATTGCTGAGGATCCACAAGCGACTGGAGCTGATGACTTGCCACCTATAACTAATTTGTCTTACCTTGATGACCAACTGCACTCTGGAATTCAGCTAGATCAAGTGTCGTATGGCATTGAGGAAAGGAGTATTAGGGAGGATGCAACACAAGCACCTTGGCCGAGTAAGTAACTTGGCCTCTTTGCTCAAAAGGTGGATAACGCTATCCGATGGATGAGTCTTGGTCTGCTAGATAACTGAAATTGGTTTCCCTAACACACTGTACTTTTCCACTGGATACTGATGTTGGCTACATTCACCGAACAAAAATGTTCAACCGGATGAAGATTTGTGCTTTTAGGCGTTCCGTTTACACGGATCCACCCTAACTGTACCAAAAGTTATACGCCTATCTATTCTAAGTTCCCTGTGAACAGGACGAAAATATTTAATAGTCCTGTTTGAACAAAGTGCCAGGTCAAATTTTTCAGCCAGTCAAAAATTTGTTTGGTACCATGGGGACATAGCCTTCTCCACTTTCCCTGTTGGTACCAATGTGGCGGCTTTCTATGGAGCCCTACATACTGATGTGAAACATTCCGACAATAACTGAAGTTGGAGATGTGGCAAACTCCTGAACTTGATAGTGACTTCTTTTTTAATCTTGTCAAGTATCACACTGCCTTGACTTCATTTATTGAACGGTTTTAGATTTTGATTTGTAATTGCACGACCATCCCAATTATTGTTTGTGTTGGCTGCCTTGTCTTTATTCTGACAGTTATCATTGATATTACCTTAGCCTTAGTCGAGGAAGGTTTCTTCTGTCAAACTACAACCTCTGAAGAACGTGACTTACTAGAGAAGGGTGTGGAAGAAAAAGCTTATCTAACCGATGATCACTATTACTCAGTGTCTTCACATGACAGTGGAGAGAAGTCCAGGTACGTGTATGCACTATGCACAAGTCGTCAGTAAGGACGATGATATTTTAAGTTTACAAGATTTGCATTGAATAGATCACACAAATTTAGGCTAATTCAGCCGTAAGGGCCAAGTGTTCATAGCATTGATGGAAATATAAAAGTAACAACTTAAAACTTTGAAAGATCCCAAAAGCAAAATGGAAGAGTGGATGGGCAAGATTAATGTGGATTGCTTTTGGATAAATTTTCAAAAAAAGCAGCAGCATGATTTTTCAAAGTTACCTCAATTTTTATCAAAAGTGCCATTTATAATGCCGGGAGTCATCTTTGACCAAGAGTCTGTGGTGTTACAATTCAAATGAAACCTCTTCAGCAATACTTTCGGATGGTCCTATTTTTTCAGAATTTTACTAAATGAAATTTGGAAATTTTGTTGAAGTTTGACTTTGCCACTTTTGGGAGTTGAAGGTTTATGTGTCTCATGGAGTTAAGTGATTTGCCCCAGTTAAAAACCAACATTTCTAAATTCCAATTTCCCCAGAAATCAGGAGAACCACTACGTAAATGTGCTTCCTATCTCTACCTCTAAATTGTCATTTATTTATGTTTGTGTTGTTTACGACAGATATGATCACGAGTTTGCTCAGTCTGAGGTGTTTGACTATGGACATGGCCATAGTGAAAAGCAGAGTACCTTACAAGGAAGCAGTGGTCATACAGACTCAAGAAGCACACACAAGGTGATCCATATTACCCAAAACTTAAACGTGCTGTTTTATTTTCTATGGGCTGTACTCTAGCAGCGCCTGGTGGCCTGTGGCGCCTAACTTTTGCTCATGGGCTACTAGAAAATCTTACTTTTTTCACACAAATCATATGCTGGGCGCCTTGGATTTCACAAGTTCAGAGCACTTGGCTTCCTTCCGTTTTTCTTGGAGCACAGCCTTGAAAACGTAATAAACATTGTCTAATACGTGAATCAACAATTAGAGGGTTTAGGATGACAGTGTTTCAACAAATGTGATGAGTATAATGTATTGTAGCTTCAAGACTTTTATAAACATCCAACAAAAACGTGTTAAAGACATAAAGCTATTTCTTGAAAATTGTATGGGGTTTAAGTCTGTGTGAGACAGGCACCTCAGGTAAGTCTCTGCTAAGTACTAGTGGGATTTTGCTTTAACGGCAAAGCTAATTTATAGCAAAAACAGCACTTTATTGAGTGTCAATGTATTTAGCATTAAAGTATTAACTGGAGACAGTATTTCAGTGTTTGTACAGAGTCTTGAATTCTTGAAAAAGTCTTGAAATTTGCCTAGAAATTTCCCAGACCTGGAGAAACTGTGGAAAATAGAGGTTAAGTCTTGAAAAAAGGGAAGAAGTGTTGAGTTTTCTTGAAAGCTACAAGTGCTGCACAAGTGATATTTTTTTCGTGTTGGTCAAATCTCATTAAATCTTGCCTGCATGGAAAAAGTCTTATTCCTGCGTTTTTAACATCTCTATTGACCACCTACATGTATTTTATAACCTTGAGTCTGGAGAAAGAAATTATAGTTTTGGAAAAATTCTGGAAAAAGTCTTGTATTTTAGATAAAAAATCTGTACGAACCCTAGTATTTTTATGTCTCCTAGTGGAGGTGGGACAGCCATTTTACGTGGTCATCAGAGCCAGAGTAGCTTCATTTCTTCATTTAGTTGAGTATTGGTCCAGCCCTGGAAATGAAACTTGTGACCTCTTGCTCAGCAGTTAAGCACACCGTAATTTTTAGGGAGTTATTATAACTCCAAAGATGGAGTAAACATTTTGATACAGGATAACCCCTTTTTGGGGGTTATTTAAACTCCTAATTTAACTCCGAATTTGGGGTGATTTTTATTCCTGGAAAAGAGTTCTTTTTACTCCCAGTCTGGAGTTAAAATAACTCCGAAATTGGGTTACTTTTACTCCTTACATGGGTTGTTTTTACTCTTTTTGGAGTTAATTTAACTCTGAAAGTGGAGTAAAAATTTTAGGTGCAGGATAACTCCTTTTTTGGGGTTATTTTAACTCCTCAATATGTGGGGTCACTTTTACTCCTGAAAAAGAGTTCTTTAAACTCCTTTTTGGAGTTAAAATAGCTCCACTGTTTACCCCCTCTACAGGAGTTATTATAACTCTTGAAAATTACCGCGCACTCTACCAACTCAGCTAATCCGGCTTTTTCAAACCTCCAGGAAAATAAAAAAAACTGTTTTCTATCAAGAGAGTGTCCCAACCTCATTTTAACACCATAATTATTTCTTTCACTTTGCAGGATTACAAACATCACTCTTCAACTCGAATGTCACGATATTATCCTTGGCAGAGTCATGTGGAAGAGAAGCGCAATCAGATGACAACAGTTGGTGGAGAAGGCAGGTATTTTTTGACTTGGCTACTTGTTGAAGGCCGTGTTTTTTTTCTACAAAGCACAGCACCGTCACCAATTTAAATTACTGATAGCATCGCGTAAAAGCACCGTCACAGTTTAATTCAAAGATTCTAGTAACCTTGTATTTAGCAAAGAGAGACTCAAAATGAAAGTCAGCAACCTATGACTGGTCGTGACTATTAAGATGCTTAGGTGCTGATGGCTACACAAAGAGGTTCAGAAAGATATTAATTAGCAGCCTTTTTCCAACCAAAATTCTAACCACTGTTTTTTCCCTCTTACTTCCATTTTAGGTTCAAAGTCAACCGCGCAAAACGTCACTGGAAAAAGTACTGGCTCTGAGATGTCTACAGCTCTGACTGATGAGAATCCTGGTAAAAAATTTAAGCTGGAAAAAGGAATACTCAGCAGTAAATATGATAACACTGATACCGCTAAGGTACCAAGTCTCAATGATTTGCCGCAATCTGACAAGCCGAGAAAGTGGGACATTATGGTGTTTGCCTGGATGGATAAATCCCAGTTCTCCAATTGGCTGCGTAGAAAGCAGCATGGAGCCAAACTGTCTTTGGGTGCTAAGGGTGGGAAGAACCCAGTACAGTACACAGCAGAAACTTACAGGCGCTCATCTGAACGTTTGTTGCGCCGAGTTAGGAGGCAGCTTAGACCGTCAAGTCGCAGCCGCAGTAAATCACCACACAAGGAGGAGAGGCAGTTATCAGACTGCCCTGATTTTGACTTTGATGATTTGGACCTTGAATCAAATTTGCTTAAAGAAGATGCTCATTGTTCTGTTTCTAAGGAATCAACTCCGCATACCACAAAGGATGCTGCTGAGAAATCCGCTGTACATAGTAATGCTCTCTCTTCACCCAGCACCGTAAATAATGAAGTTGTACATAGAAGTTTGTCTGTTAACGATGATAAGGCTGGTACGGAAGCACATCATATTGATCTGCTTTGTGATAATGAAGGTCCAGTTTTATCAGGAAGGGGTGGAAAAAAGGAGCCACTCATCAGCAAGGAGCTTGATGATGGAAGTAAAGGAATAACAAACACCAAAGCTGAGCAGCGTTCAAGTGAACAATTAAATGAATGTAGGCCGATTGATTTGGAAAGAACTCTAGCTACTGATGTCACAGCCAGTAAAGCTGATCACACTGATGTGATTTGTGAGAGTGAAGTTTTGCTTACATCAGAATGGAGTAGAAGTGACGAGACAGACACCTTCAGGAACTTTGATGAAGCAGCTAAGGAGGCAGCCAACACAAAATCGGAGCAGCCTTCTAATGATCCATCAAGTGAATGTGAGGCAATGGACGTGGAAAGAAACCTGACAAGTGATGTAGCAGTTGGTGCTGGTAAAGAATCTGATGATGTTGATTTGATTTGTGATAATGAAGTCTTGGCAATATTGGAAAGGTGTGGTAAAGATGAAACACTCAGTCCTAAAGACCTCGAGGCAGCCGTCACAAAACGTGAAAAGTCCTCTTATGATCAATCAGCTGGTTGTGAGGAGTCGGATGCCAAGAAGACCCTGACAAGTGATGCGGCAGGTGGTAAAGATGATCACATTGATCCAGTGTGTAATAATAAGGTTTCAGCTGCCATGGAAGTAGGTGCGGAAGTTGAGTTACTCGCCAGCAGGACCCTTGATGAAGCAAGTAGCGATGCAACTGACACTCACGTAGAACAGCTTGAAAATGATCCGTTAGCTGTAGAAAAAACGCTGACAGGTGATGTGACAGTTGGGAGCATCTGTAAGCAGGACTCAGTAACTGAATGTTTTAACACGTTGCTTGATCCTGTCATGGATGAAAGTCAACCCCGTGCCAGTTTGAATTTTCAAGAGGAAAGAGACACAGGCTCAAGAAGGATTAATGAGCAAAAATTAATTATTAGTGATCAAGATGAAGGGTGTTCGGAAACCTACAGCAAAGTACTAAAAGCAAAGAAATTGCAGGATGATTTTGGTGAGAAGCCACACGGCCAAGATGTGAAGCAAACCGAACTAGAGGCCACCATTGCTGCAAGGGGTAAAGAGGGGTCATCAATGTTAGGTGATCAGAGAACAGTTAGCAAAGAAGTGAAGAAAACTGCACAGACTAGCTACAAAGGAGGGGTTGACACAGGGGAAGGAAGTTTGAATACCCCTGAGGACAAAGAGTTATCTTTGACAGAAGAACTGGGTGACGAAGAAGCAGCGCAAGAGTCATTTTCCTGTCGCCCTCCTCTTCCTTCATCTTCTCCTCCGCTTCCTCCTCCTCTTCCTCCTCAGCCTGCGCCATCGGTGTGTTCAATGAGTGATAAAAGTGTGGAAACAGCACCAGTTTGCCAAACCAATATGCAGCCCCACGTAACAGTTGAAAAGACAAATAACATTGAAAGTACTCGATCGGAGGATACAGATTCACTGGAGACCACTCCTACCAACACTAGCCAATCACCTTTTGTGGTAACCTCGGTTTTTAGTTCAGAAAAGTTCAGCCAGTATCTTTCTCCTGTTGATGGAGCTTCGTCAAAAGATCCAGTAGCAAAAGACTCGTGGCTTCAATCCACTGCGCTGAATACTACTACTGCTTCTTCACCTGCATTGTTTACACCTCATTATCCTTCAATAGCAACTCCACCACCTCTTCCTCCCAGTTTCATGTGGCCTAGAGTGGATCAACCTGGATCCCTTCCCATGGCAGGAGTTGTACCAAACCATTCTTCTCTGCAGCAGCCAAATTATAGGTTTCCCTCCTGGGCTGATCAGGCAGCACCAGTGCCATTCCCAGTTGGATGTGTACAACGACCGTCAGCAGGTTCCGGTGATATTTGCCCTCCTGGCACTGAGGATGAACAAAATGTCAACAAGGCATCAGGCCCTGCAGGGATTGTTGCAGATGATGACAAGTCACATGGAAACTTCATGGACCACTCACTCGTCAGTGAACTGATGCAGTTTTACTCCGAAATCAGTGAAGTTGAAGGAAAAGATAACAACAATAACAATAACCAAGTGACTGAAAAAACTGTCGAAAGCGTAAAGAACCCAGAACCAACAGATATGAGAAGTGATAAAGATGAAGGAGCTACAAGCGAAATGGAGATTGAGTCTGACCTTGAAGGCAGTGTTGTGGATGTTTCTGAAAACACCGATGTTCAAGAAACCAAAGTCAGTGATAATGCATTCCCTGAGACTGCCGAATGCTTTGATGAATCAGTTGAATTTGGGCAGAAAAGAAAAGAAGTGGTGTCTACTTCAAACAAGTATAGTACAGTAACAGAGGGCATCTCAAAGTCAGTGGCGCATTTGGAAAATACAGCTGTTTGCTCTACTGTGGCCTCCATGATGGACAAAGCAGTTACTGAGAATCCCCTTTGCTTGAACACAGTGAGTTCAGAGCCTGTGAAAACTACCGCTGTCTCCAGCTTGGTACTTTCCACAGTGGACTCCGGGCTGTTGGATGATGACAAAACTCTGAAGATTCCTGCCATGGGTGCACAAACAGTGCATGTGCAAGATGTTCATGTTTCCAGCCCTCTGGATTCCCCCATCGACACCCCACCATTGCAAAGCCCTGCCGTCATCACCGATGAAGTCTCTGGAGACATCCAGGTGTCGACTCCTATTGATCCAGTATTTTTTGCAAATGTCGAAAAAACAATCTTTAGCTCGATCTGCGACTTGACAAACTTGTTGGGTCAGTCACCAGTGTTTGATCGCATTGCGGAAGAAGCCATAGCCTCAACAGTATCGTCTTTGGAGGATGTTCTTCTGCAAGCACAAAGCAGTTATCAGGGGTCAAATAGCTGCCCATCTGACAGTGGTGTGTCTATTGGTGAGGATGTATCTATGCCCTCGGCATTATATCGTGGTATATCAATGCCAGCAAGTCCCCTTCAGGGGTCATTAGACTTGAGAAGTGAAAAAAGTGGAACAAGTAGTGGACCAGAAGGGAGTGACACAAGTCACTGCACCAGTAAAGGTTTGTTCTTTAGTTGTCAGTTTAAGTCAGTGAACCTTATTTAAGAGCGAAAAAAAAAATCTTAAATCGCGAAAAAGTCCCATTCTCCTTTCGTTTCATTTGAATAGTTTCGTCACATTCACAGACCTAAAGTTAGAACCTTTTACAGTACAATAAACAGTACCACAGTTACTGCTACTGTAGCTTTCACTTGAATCGTCACACTTCAGGATTTGATTTACAGACTCTAAAGTTTGAACCACCGTGTGCAACATAATAAACCTTACCACGGGAAAGTTCTGCTCAGTAGCTTTCATTTAAAAGATTACACTGCAGGATTTGATCCAGTCTCAAATGTTAGAACTAATCACCTGTCTTCCTAATTGCCTTTGAACGTGAAAGGAACCCGAAAATGGGAATTCTCTCATAAATTTACGAAAATATCAAAGCATTATTTCTCATGTTAATGTCTAGAGGTTGTACTGGCCCACCAGTTTCATTTCACAAATTTTAAGAATCTTGAGTTAGACAACAATAATCAAGTTAGACTGATGTTCGGTAACTTTTAATTGAAAGGGTTCACTTTGGGGACTGGCATGCACATATTCAGAAGTTTAACTTTCCTCTTTTTAATAAACCATTTTGCGTGACAGTGTTTACATTTTGCTGGTCACTCGTAGAGAATTTCCTACACAGACTATAATTTTTTTTCAATCATTTGATAGGGCTTGCCTTTATTAATACGCTCAATAAAAAACTGTCCAGAAAGAAGTTGATGGCATAAGCATCAAAGACCAGTGTTATATTTTTTGACAAGATTGTTTTATTACTAATGGCATCTGTAATCAAAAGCATTGGTTTTATGTCACTCTGCAGATAACTGAGTTATAATCATCGCGGTACCACAAGTTGTGGCCTTTTTATGTGTGAGTACTAACCAGTCTAACTTAACTAGCAGCGTGCATTTGTGTAATGTTATTGTCAGTTCACTTGCTTTTAGTGACACTCTCACTCTTATCTAGCAGTTTAATGAAGACAAGAATGCCATCTAATTTATTCAAACCTCAACTCTTTTAACAACTTTTACTCTTAATGATTTTCAATCTTGATAATGATGTTAGAAACATCGAAACTCCGGATAACGTTACTTTTTTTTTCTTGTGAAATGCTTTAACAAGCAACTGACCATCCGATTTGTTATGCCACAAGAGTTTGCAACCATTTTTAGCGCCTGTTCTTACTCTAACCACTGTTATGGCCAAACAGGCGTGGAAGGGACCTACCTGCCCATCTTCTGCGCAACTTTTCTTTGTGTCGGCGTCACGCACGCTTCTCCCTACCAGTGAACGAGTTTTCAACTACTAGCTGATAAAACAAATATAGCGAACTCTTAAGAAACCTATTTTTTAAGTTGGAACGAAAATCGTTGTACCGGGTAGAACGGAGATGCCATTATCATATCTGGGAAATCATGGTCACCTTTTGTATAACTTCGTGGCAAAAATGTACGTCTACCTGTACCCGTAGAGAGAAACGGTTTATCTTAAGGTCATTACTGTTTCTGCCTACGGGTACGGGTAGGCGACCATGTTTGCCACGTAGTTATACCACATGCAAACATGATTTCCCAGATGTGATAATTGCCGTTGTACCCGGTAGCCTGCCCGTTTGTCCAGGCTGAGAGGCACTCTACCAGTATTTTATGGCTACGCGTCCGGGGTATCTTACCGCTATACCATAAGGTCTCTAGTACCTCTCCAGGGTACGCCCTCACCAAAATGATCAAGGACGTATCTATAGCATGCAAAAAAAAAAAAAAAGATAGCTTGTGGTTCTGGTCTAAATCTTGCCATTCTGGATACCATTAATGATGGTCTGTTTATTTTGCTATTTTTCCTCCAGTACCTGACAAAGGAGCTGTACAAAAGAAGTTACCAAAAACCCGGAAGAAGTTTCAGTTTTACGTGTATTCTCCTGAACATGACAAAGAATGTGAAGCAGTCAAGGTAATTTCTGTACTCATCTTTCTTGCCTTGTAACTTCAAATAGTATGGACAGATCTTTTATTGTGAAACAAGTTGCTGATTGCGTCCTCGCTGTCCTTAATTTCCTAATTTTGTCATTTATTTTTCTCTCAGTTCACTACTTGTTTTTGAGCTTTGTGATTGAACCCAAATATTTTCTTTCAAAACGGCTTCAAGAGGGCTGTAATATTGACTTAACTCTTTTGTATCGTTTTTGTCAAGAACTACATGTTGAAAGCAGGGGGTGTGTTTGTGGACGTCAAGGATTCATCTTGTTTGCACGAGACTGCTCGGGAGTTAAGAGTGCTGATTAGGAAAAAACATCAACCATCCGTTCACAGGTAACATGACAAGACAAATCTATTGATCAACACTTTCACTTCCAGAGTAAGATGATGAAGTCTTGTAAGGTGGTTCTAACTTGTGAATCTTTGGATGAAATCCTATGATGTGACCATTCAAATGAAAACCTCTTCAGCAGTATTTTCACATGCTCCTGTTTATTTAGTATGTAGCTCTAACTTTTGAGTCTTTGGATGAAATCCTATGGTGTTACCTTCAAATGAAACCACTTTAACAGTACTTCCACATGGTGCTATTTGTTTTTCAGCATTTAGCTAAATTTAATTTCTTTTTAAATTTTGACTTTGGCTACTTTTGAAAGTGAAATTGAGGGTTATGTGCCCTTACTTGTTTAGCATATAATACAACTAAAACCCTGTATACAGGAGCAATTAAGGTAAAAAATCTTGTCAAGTTTTGTCATTTACACGACCAAAGAAATACCCTAGGTATCAGAGATTTTTACTCGAGTGCTTGTGGAGATATGCTTCAGGGCTTCCGCTAGAGACCAACGCATGGCCGAACCAACGAGCGGCACTGAAGCCGCGAGAGGAAAAAAATGTCAAAGAAAACCGTGACTTGCTCTTGAAGATACACCCTAACGTACTCCTTTTTTCAGGTTGGCAAATTTGTATCAGTTGAAGATGGCGTCGTCTGTCAAGTTTGCATTGTTTAACACTCTAACTGGTACGTCTCTTTTCCTTTTTCGCACGTCTTTATTTTATGCTTTTTCTTCTCTGACGTTGCTGTTACTCTTTTATGAATCAATATTTCTTGTTTAATCAAGTTATGTTTTTTTTCCAATGCAGATGTGGTGGAGGGAAGTCGTTCGTATGAGAACATCTTTGTTTCTGGCGGCGCCTTGCTTGCTGACGATATGATTCTTAAAACCATCGACATCGGTAAAAATACTTTTGAAATGTTCGTTAATCATTTTTGAAATGTTTGTTAATCAAACTGCAGAAAATAACGATAAGTTAAACTATGCAATAATATGGTCCCCTGTTGCGAAATCTACCTTCGTTCTTAGCCACAAGAGTCTCTCATTCATATCTACACGTTTGTCATGTTAAATTTCTAGACTAGAAAAAAAAATTAACGTTCCAGCCGTCTTCAGCTTCTACGAGATCTGACCAAGAGGCTTTCTAAAGACCAGATTGCCGACTACGTCTCTGTAATTGAAAAATGAAAATATTATATCGACAGGCAAATATTCATGAAGAAAGAAATGGCTATTTGAAGCGAAAGCAAACTAAGACCCCGTCCACACGAATCCGGATATTTTTGAAGCCGCAGTTGTATATATTTTTAGAGAGCTTTAGATTTGAGGACGAGTACGAGAAGGAGATTTTCTTAATCTTGAGTATTGCTCGCGCGTAAGCCAGCGTCATTTTGGCGGGAAAACATGATAGCCGTCGTCATTCTAGTTCGAGTATTAGCAAGAATGTCGCAGTGGTAGAAACGAGTTATCTAAATGTTACAAGTTTTATCATTTTGCGATCGGGAGAGGGCTTGACCTCCTTTAATAGAGATAACAGTGTTAACTTTTCTGGTGATTCTAAAGTACGATGAAGCTTTCCGGGGTACCGATTTTTTTGAGAGTACGCGAAAAATCTTTAAGTCAAATTTCACACTCGTAGTCGTTCTCGCCCGCGAATCTAAGAGTCTCTTTTTTCACGAATCCGCCTTCTGTCCACACGAAACCAGTGAATCCAGAACCGCATTTTTTTTTAACCGCTCGAATCCGGGTATTTTACAATTATACCTCGAGCCCGAATGGGCTCTGAGTCAATAGCCCATGAGGCTAAAGGCCGAATGGGCTATTGACTCAGAGGCTATGAGGGCGAGAGGAATAATTGTTTAGTAAAATCCAACTAGTTGGTCAAAAATATCGAGACAAAACAACTTTAGCTGGTTAAAGCTAGACTATAATCCTTTTTGCCGCCAAAAAGTCGGTGCTTTTCGCTATTAGTGGGCTATAACATATAGCCTAGTAGTAGCTCAACCAATCAGAACGCGGCATTGATAATAGACCACCAGTTGGATTTACTAATAAAAGATATGCGGTTTCAAAAAACGCCCGGATTCGTGTTTACGGGGCCTCTGTAAATCTTTTAGAGAGTTGATGTCAAAGTTGTTATTCTCTGCAGATTACCTGGCAGGTCTGTTACGTTATCTTAAGGAACAGAGCTTGGCGCATCAGAAGTTTGTTTGGGTCTTGAATATCAGTAGAAACGGTTACAAGAGGCTATCCATGAGCAGGTAAGCAAGTGTATAGAGTTAAGGACAAACTAACGTTAACGCGACGTTAAAATAAAACAACAACAACAAGAACAAAAGGAATTGCACCTCTGTCGATAAAATTTTTCTTGGACTTTTCACACCGTGATATTCTGTATGGACTAAAATCACATTTTCAAGTCTTACTTCTTTTTTTGGATTTGAGACTGGTGAAGGTCCGAAGTGTTTTCTTACATTTTTAATAACATTATTTTGTCATTCGTTTTTGTCGTTGCGTTTCAAACAGGCCGCTGTCGAAAAGAGACTCAAAGGCGTTGGTAAGTACGGTATTTGTTTTCCTCACTTTTTTTCTCCTGAAAAAGACTTCTCCTCTGTACTCTTCCAACCCTTCATTTTGTCTTCCCTAAGAACGAGTGGATAGCATTGCCGCCCGAGAGTTTGCTCGCGTGATAAATTCAAGTTATTTTCCCAACTTCGTCCCGAAATTAACTTATTCATTCTCTCTACTCATGCGCATAAGACGCAAACCGTGTTAAAAAGGTTAATTGCTTTTGAAAGGAGAAGCCATACCAATGCCATCAGATCTTAACAGGCTGAGCATATGTAAATTTGTTTGCCCTTAGAATCTTCTTCGTCGATACAAGGATGAGGGCTTCATCACAGTCCTTCCCAAGGTAAGATGGCTGACGTTTTGATTGCTGTTTTTTTTGCGGATTTTTTTTTTGCGAAGTGCTGTTTTGTGGACGAGAATCTATCAATTAACAGAAGAAACTGCTCACCACATGTAGCGACGAGATACAAATCTCTAAATTCTCTAGTAATTGTTTTAAAGAATGAACTGCCTTGCAGTGAAAAAAAAAAGCACGTTTGAAAATGAGATTAGAGACCTTTAGCACTTGGTTTTTCACGGGGAACTGCAAACCGCAAATTACAGTTTTCAGTTGCGCGTTTGTAGTTTTACGTTGCCGAGATTTCAAATTTTAGCAAGGCGTTCATTGTTTAGTGCCGCTATGTTGTTTTTTGTCAAGTCAAAGTGCATTACTTTTATCGCCCAAAAAACAGGGATAATTCGAGGTCAAAAATCTAACAAGCACATCGCAGATGGATAAAGAAAGTTTAAACGTGAGGCTGTACACTTTTTAGTGGCAAAAAACCTTGCCGTAAGTCACTTACCCGCTGGACGTCCTTCCTGCCGTTCAAACGTGAACTGCAAACTGCAAATGCGACCGCAAGACGATGGTCACGTGACATTCTCAGGTTTGCGGTTTGCGGTTTTCCATGAAAAACCTGATGCTAAAGGTGTCTGTTATCAATAATCATAGTTAAGTGGGAGATTTTTCGCTAGCATGCGCATTTGAGTCAACGCCACGTAGATTTGCCCTGGTGGTTTACTTTGTGTAGTTTTGCCGCTTTTTGCCTGCTATCTCTCCCCTCCCAGCCACTTCTTGGTCCCTTTACGGTTCTGTGTTCAGTAGAGTTCTCCTTCTTTATCCTATCTAGAGATCAGTGTCACAGATTCCGGTGGGAGGTAGGGTGGTTGACCCTTAGGACGGTTGTCATGGTTGTCCTCCTTACTTGCATTTTGCGCACATTCACTTGCTTATCGCCAACAGTTCTCACAATTAGCACCCACTCCCCTGATAAATATTGCTAATCGGCAAGTTAAACGCAGCCCTTCATGGGCTATCGCACCTTCGTGGGTAAATTTTCATAAAACAAAGTTTAATTTTACGCAGGGCTATGTGACTGAAGGTATTCCTGCAACTCAACGATATCTACAGACTTCACTCAAGCTGCAGATTGAACTCATCTCTGTCTACAGACACATCATCCTACTGTCAGGTATGCCGGCGAACGTTCATTCGCCCAACTGTGGTCGTCGGTTATTTCGATACAAGTCGTTTTGATTCAAGTTTATCCTGTCCAGATGTAAATAGTTTTACGTACTTGGGTAAAAACAAAGAAGAATATTAACCCCAAATATTTTCTTGTTCACGCGCAAACTATACTTGAAGTGATCAAAATTTTTGTATAATGTTAGTGATTGAGGTGGTATCGAAATACGGGTTTCCGTAACTTTGCACCTGTTATTCGTCACTTTAGAAAGGAACTGGAGCCGAAATGCGTCCCGCAATTGATTCTGGGATCGTTACTGGGGACGCGCCGGTCAGCTATTGGCCAATTTTTTCCCAGTTCCAGAAGTCTTTGCGAAAGTTAACTCGTCCCATTTCCCTTCTGGTTTCAAAAGTGGCGAATCAGTATTACATCAATGGCAACAGTTCTTTGCAACATCAAGCCGTTTCTTTTATTTCAACAGATATGGACAAAGGCAGAGTGGAGGTACCGTGGTTCTTGGAACGCGGGGTAAGTTTAATCAGATTATATAACTGAAAATCCATGCAGGACAAGTTAAGTATAACTTGTTTTGTGTTTTTTCTGTTGTAGATTGGTGTCATGAATGTCCAAGAATTCTTGACTACATTTGCAGGGTGAGTTTTCCCTTTTTTGTTTCTCAGTATGTGGGAATTTGAGGCGTGCACAACTATTCTCCAAATATGGTCTTAAAAGTTACCCCACTTGCAGTGACGTAGGCTTTCACACTAGGCTGATTTAGCAACAGAAAGGGAACTTCATATTACAACGGCGCGCGCAAATCAAACAACTTGCTTGACCAATGGCAGAGCGGCAAATTGGGCACCGGAAGTCGAGTTTGGTCCTTTCCGCGCGCTTTCCTTGCTAAATCAGCCTACTATACCGAATAGCACGAAAACCATACCGGATAGGGGCTCTGTTCACACACATAAGAACGCTGATATCGGTGGGCGCGATTTCTGTAACGAAGCGAAGCTTAGCCGCGCCGATCAATAAATTGGAGATTTACATGTCGGATAGGTGTTAACACTATACGGGATAGGTTTTCGCGCCGGCTGTCCGGTTTAGAGTGAATTTAGCCTTAGTATGACATGTTGCTTAGTAGTTTGACACTAATTTTTTACATGCTGCAGGCTCCCATTTCGGCAGGGGCTTTTGTCTTCATAAGCTTGGTTCACTAAATTATCACCGCTAATATAAGGGATTTGAGCAGAGCTGGCACTTGTAATGCAGCGCTGACCGACCTTGGTTATATAACTGTATTTTTATTTCTTGCTTATAGAGAGAGTGAAGCGAAGACTTTACTCAATACACGGCCACACGTATCTTGTTCTGAAACTTCTACAACTTATACAGCGATGGAATGTAGTACTCCAGAAGGTAATTTTTTTTGCCTTTTTCAATCAAAAGTTTTTTTTATCTTAAAGCCATATTACAGTAAAAACCCTCGAGCAAGAACCTGTTAGGCTAAAATTTGCCAGTTAGACCCCCTTTATAAAAAAAACCTATTTTGCGTATACTTTAAAATAGGTTCTTATTTTCTAAAATCTATAAGACAATTCTGAACACTTAAGTAAGATACTTCTGGCTGTAAGATAAGTCAACATTCAGGATCCTCTTTAGAGAGGTGGGTGCTTTATCACTCCAACTTTATTGTAATGGTTTAAAGATTTTACATAAGCAATAAGCTGAAGACCACTAAATACCCTTAGCTGCAATGTATTTGTTTTTCTTCAGAAAATAAGAGCGTAAATAGCCTAAATTTGTGCCAATTACCATTTATTTAAGAACCTGTTCAGGCTGACTTGGGAAAATGCGGGTTCTTACTCGCAGGTTTTTACTGTATATCAAACTTATATTCCAGGCATTACCCTAAGAAGGTAACGCTGTGCGTTAGTGGCCCATCTCTATCGTTACTGCGCGAAAGCATTCAAGGGATTCGAGTGAAGTGAAGTATTCGTATTTGGTGTGTGTGTTTCGTTGGGGGGAGGGGAGGTTGTGATAAATGCTCGAGATCGTAGAAAATGTATTTAGTTTACGCAATCGGAGACCCCGCCACCCCCTAGAAAGAGGAAGGGCGTTGAAGGAACGGTTGTCGAAAGCGGTGTAGTTCTTTTTGTCATCTCCATCATTCCATTCAGCTTCTAAGTTGAGTCTTTTTTATTTTATTCTTTATTTTAAACAGATGATGCTGCCTGTCCGACATCAGAGGGCACGCCAATGTCTGACTCCTCAACAGACAGTCCAAATATGGAAACATGCACCACCCCGCATCAAAGCGCAGAGGAACAGCCTCAGCTCAGCAGTAGCCTCGCCCCTCAAAAGAGAACAGTGCGGTCACTGAGCTGGGATACTGGAACCATGACTCAAACCAGACTACAGATCCTGTCGTGTGTGAGAAGGGAACGTGATATCATCCGTAATCAGATCAGCAGTAGTACTCCATCCAGTCCCGTCAGTCGGTCCATGTGACTAGACCGGGGTAGTCACCTTTAGCCTATGCACAGGGTGGCTACATCAGGCCCGGATGATATTATTTTTCTGTACCTCTAAATGCAGTTTGGTGTGACGTTTTGTTAATGCCTGTGTTCATGAATTGCTCAAGGATTAGAAGGAGTATTTTTTCCACTCCGTTTTGGGTTTTTTGGTTTCATTCAGCAACGTAGCCGTTGAATTTTGGCATGAAGCTAACACGGTGAAGGTACTTTGCATGACAGCGGAAGTAACAAGTGCTTTACAGTACGTCACACATTGAAGAGACCATCGTAGTTGATTTAAAAATTGTGCCTTCACGATGATTTTTCGAAACAGAAAAGAGAATTTAACGTTAATGTTGAAGAGTTTTGTACAGTCTTTGTATTTGTTCTCAGTGAAGGCCACAAAATTTGTGAATACACTCGTCTCCTTTGACCCTTTTTTCCTAGCGTGGTTTTTTGTTTCCATTTTAATGAATATTTTTGGGGAATTGATGTAAAAAAAAAACATTCGATGAATGATAGATGTGATTAATGTCGATAATTCAATTTCGTAACAAATAAGCTATCAGAGTTCCTTCTATTTTGTCTAATTTCTTTATGACAGAAATGTTTTTGTTCGTTCGACAAATTTGTAAATAAAATTATCAAATTGAATTTCTATCTTATGTACAAATGATTTTTTTAAGTTGTAACAAAAGATATTAATTTTTTTTTGTCAAGAGCAATAATATATGTTAGCGATTCTGTACAGATACAGTCACAGATACGGATACAGCCACTAGACTCGCTGTTTTTCACGCTTTATATTGAAGAGTTATTTTTAATAAAGAGATGTTTATGTTCATATTTGGACAGTTTCTTGATTTCTGGCTACAGCTAGTTTATAAGGGGCTATGCATGAGAATATAACTGTTTTAGGTCAATTCTGTGCTTAAGTCTTTATTTACTACCTTTATCCATACAGATACGCCCCTGTGGAGCTATGAAGACGATATCAAACAACTTTGCTCCCGGAATTTCTAGAATTTTCGGTTGAATGGTTCGCATTGCGGAAATTATACAGTTTACGGAAATTCTGACAACTTTTTCCTGGAAAATTCTGTACCATTTGCTGCTGTGTCCAAATTTTCGAAAGTTTTGGTTAAATGACAAACGCCCAAGGTGAAAAGGGCGTTTTCATCCACGTGACCCGCATCCTTGCAAATTTATTGGAACAAAACAAAGCGTTTACACAAGAAAAGAGTTCAACTCTTGAACACCAACATGGCTGCAGTTTCACCAAATGGCCACCGCAACGTCAGGTGAAAACGGTCTATTGTGGGAGATGTGGAAATAGCGAATTTGAAGTAGATTATGTCGGAGAAGCGTGTAGCACCAAGGACAAAATGCCTCAACTAATTTTGATGATAATGCCATGCAGTCAAGGAACTTGACGGTAAATTCTCTCACGGTTATGCAATAATATGGTCCCCTGTTGCGAAATCTACCTTCGTTCTTAGCCACAAGAGTCTCTCATTCATATCTACACGTTTGTCATGTTAAATTTCTAGACTAGAAAAAAAAATTAACGTTCCAGCCGTCTCCAGCTTCTACGAGATCTGACCAAGAAGCTTTCTAAAGACCAGATTGCCGACGACGTCTCTGTAATTGAAAAATGAAAATATTATATCGAAAGGCAAATATTCATGAAGAAAGAAATGGCTATTTGAAGCGAAAGCAAACTAAGACCCCGTCCACACGAATCCGGATATTTTTGAAGCCGCACTTGTATATATTTTTAGAGAGCTTTAGATTTGAGGACGAGAACGAGTACGAGAAGGAGATTTTCTTAATCTTGAGTATTGCTCGCGCGTAAGCCAGCGTCATTTTGGCGGGAAAAGATGATAGCCATCGTCATTCTAGTTCGAGTATTAGCGAGAATGTCGCAGTGGTAGAAACGAGTTATCTAACTGTTACAAGTTTTATCATTTTGCGATCGGGAGAGGGCTTGACCTCCTTCAATAGAGATAACAGTGTTGACTTTTCTGGTGATTCTAAAGTACGATGAAGCTTTCCGGGGTACCTATTTTTTTGAGAGTACGCGAAAAATCTTTAAGTCAAATTTCACACTCGTAGTGGTTCTCGCCCTCGAATCTAAGAGTCTCTTTTTTCACGAATCCGCCTTCTGTCCACACGAAACCAGTGAATCCAGAACCGCATTTTTTTAACCGCTCGAATCCAGGTATTTTACAATTATACCTCGAGCCCGAATGGGCTCTGAGTCAATAGCCCATGAAGCTAAAGGCCGAATGGGCTATTGACTCAGAGGCCATGAGGGCGAGAGGAATAATTGTTTAGTAAAATCCAACTAGTTGGTCAAAAATATTGAGACAAAACAACTTTAGCTAGTTAAAGCTAGACTTTAATCCTTTTTGCCGCCAAAAAGTCGGCGCTTTTCGCTACTAGTGGGCTATAACATATAGCCTAGTAGTAGCTCAACCAATCAGAACACGGCATTGATAATAGACCACCAGTTGGATTTACTAATAAAAGATATGCGGTTTCAGAAAACGCCCGGATTCGTGTTTACGGGGCCTCTGTAAATCTCTGAGAGAGTTGATGTCAAAGTTGTTATTCTCTGCAGATTACCTGGCAAGTCTGTTACGTTATCTTAAGGAACAGAGCTTGGCGCATCAGAAGTTTGTTTGGGTCTTGAATATCAGTAGAAACGGTTACAAGAGGCTGTCCATGAACAGGTTAGCAAGTGTGTAGAGTTAAGGACAAACTAACGTTAACACGACGTTAAAATAAAACAACAACGACAACAATAACGAAAGGAATTGCACCTCTGTCGATTAATTTTGCTTGGATTTTCACACCGTGATATTCTGTATGCACTAAAATCACATTTTCAAGTCTTACTTCTTTTTTTTTGGAATTTGAGACTGGTGAAGGTCCGAAGTGTTTTCTTACATTTTTAGTAACATTATTTTGTCATTCGTTTTTGTCGTTGCATTTCAAACAGGCCGCTGTCGAAAAGAGACTCAAAGGCGTTGGTAAGTACGGTATTTGTTTTCCTCACATTTTTCTCCGGAAAAAGACTTCTCCTCCGTACTCTTCCAAGCCCTTCATTCTGTCTTCACGGAGCGTTGCATACCCTGGGTGCCAGAGACGTTTCTAGCGCGGTTTCCAGTTTCTGTCAAGTCTTTATAGTGATCCGGCCGAAGATGTGTCGGCCTTCGGCCAACACCGAAAAGACCCGCCGTACGCGAGAAAAGCCTCTGGTACTCAGGGCACGCGTTGCATGACGACACTAAGAACGACTGGATTAGCCTCCCCCGCAGACATTCTTAGGCGTGCGTCGGGGAACGCGTGACGCACGCCGAAGAGTGTCTGCGGGGGAGGCTACGACTGGATAGCATCGCCACCCGAGAGTTTGCTGGCGTGATAAATTCAAGATATTTTCTCAACTTCGTCCGAAATTAACTTATTCATTCTCTCTACTCATGCGCATAAGATGTACACCGTGTTAAAAAAGTTAATTGCTTTTGGGAGGAGAAGCCATACCAATGCCATCAGATCTTAACAGGCTGAGCATATGTAAATTTTTTTGCCCTTAGAATCTTCTTCGTCGATACAAGGATGAAGGCTTCATCACAGTCCTTCCCAAGGTAAGATGGCTGACATTTTGATTGCTGTTTTTTGCGAAGTGCTGTTTTGTGGACGAGAATCCATCAGTGAACAATTAAACAGAAGGATCTGCTCACCACATGTAGCGACGAGATACAAATCTCTAATAATTGTTTTAAAGAATGAACTGCCTTGCAGTGAAAAAAAAAGCACGTTTGAAAATGAGATTAGACACCTTTGGCATTAGGTTTTTCATGAGGAACCGCAAACTGCAGTTTTCAGTTGCGCGTTTGCGGTTTTACGTTGCCGAGATTTCAAATGTTAGCAAGGCGTTCATTGTTTAGTGCGGCCATGTTGTTTTTCGTCAAGTCAAGGTGCATTACTTTTATCGCCCAAAAAACAGGGATAATTCGAGTTCAAAAATCTAACAAGCACATCGCAGATGGATAAAGAAAGCTACTTCGTGCTTTTAGACGTGAGGCTGTACACTTTTTAGTGGCAAAAAACCTTGCCGTAAGTCACTTACCCGCTGGACGTCCTTCCTGCCGTTCAAACGTTAACTGCAAACTGCAAACGCGACCGCAAGACCGTGGTCACGTGACATTCTCAGGTTTGCAGTTTGCGGTTTTCCATGAAAAACCTGATGCTAAAGTTCTGTATTATCAATAATCATAGTTGAGTGGGAGATTTTTCGCTGGCATGTGCATTTGAGTCAACACCACGTAAATTTGCCCTGGTCGTTTACTTTGTGTAGTTTTGCCGCTTTTAGCCTGCCATCTCTCCCATCCCAGGCGCTTTTTGGTCCCTTTACGGTTCTGTGTTCAGTAGAGTTCTCCTTCTTTATCCTATCAAGAGATCAGTGTCACAGATTCCGGTGGGAGGTAGGGTGGTTGACCCTCAGGACGGTTGTCATGGTTGTCCTCCTTATTTGCATTTTGCGCACATTCACTTGCTTATCGCCAACAGTTCTCACAAGTAGCACCCACTCCCCTGATGAATATTGCCAATCGGCAAGTTAAACGCAGTCCTTCATGGACTATCGCAACTTCGTGGGTAACTTTTCATTAAACAAAGTCTAATTTTACGCAGGGCTATGTGACTGAAGGTATTCCTGCAACTCAACGATATCTACAGACTTCACTCAAGCTGCAGATTGAACTCATCTCTGTCTACAGACACATCATTCTACTATCAGGTATGCTGGCGAGCGCTCATTCGCCCAACTGTGGTCATCGGTTGTTTCGATACAAGTCGTTCTGATACAAGTTTATCCTGTCGAGGTGTAAATAGTTTTACGTACTTAAGTAAAAACAAAGAAGAATATTGACCCCAACTTGTTCACGCGCAAACTATACTAGAAGTGATCAAAATCTTTGTATACTGTTAGTGCTTGATCAGTTGATGTCGTATCGAAACGACCGGTTTCCGTAACTTTGCACCTGTTATTCGCCACTTTAGAAAGGAGAAAGGAATTGGAGCCGAAATGCGTCCCGCAATTAATTCTGGGATCGTTACTGATGACGCGCCGGTCAGCTATTGGCCAATTTTTTCCCAGTCCCTGTAAACAGTCCCACAAGTCTTTGCGAAAGTGAACTCGGCCCATTTCCCTTCTGGTTTTAAAAGTGGCGAATCTGTATTACATCAATGGGAACAGTCATTTGTAACATCAAGCTGTTTCTTTTATTTCAACAGATATGCCCAAAGGCAGAGTGGAGGTGCCGTGGTTCTTGGAACGCGGGGTAAGTTTAATCAGATTATATAACTTAAAATCCATACAGGACAAGTTAAGTATAACTTGTTTTGTGTTTTTTTTTTCTATTGTAGATTGGTGTCATGAATGTCCAAGAATTCTTGACTACGTTCGCAGGGTGAGTTTTCCCTTTTTTGTTTCTCAGTATGTGGGAATTTGAGGCGTGCACAACTATTCTCAAAATATGGTCTTAAAAGTTACCCCACTTGCAGTGATGTAGGCTATGTTCACTAGGCTGATTTAGCAACAGAACGGGAACGTCATATTACGACGGCGTGCGCAAATCAAACAACTGGCTTGACCAATGGTAGAGCGGCAAATTGGGCACCGGAAGTCGAGTTTAGTCCTTTCCGCGCGCTTTCCCGTCGTCAAATGACGTTCCCGTTCTGTTGCTAAATCAGCCTACTCTACCGGATAGCACGAAAACCATACTGGATAGGGGTTCTGTTCACACACATAAAAACGGTGATTTCTGTGGGCGCGATTTCTCTAACGAAGCGAAGCTTCGCTGCGCCGATCTATAAATTAGAGAGTCACATGTCGGATAGCTGTTCACACTATACCGGATAGATTTTCTGTCCGGTTTAGAGTTAATTTAGCCTTAGTATGACGTGTTGTTTAGCAGTTTGACACTAATTTTTTTACATGCTTCAGGCTCCCATTTCGACAGGGGCTTTTGTTTTCATAAGCGTGGTTCACTAAATTATCACCGCTAATATAAGGGATTTGAGCAGAGCTGGCACTTGTAATGCAGCGCTGACCGACCTTGGTTATATAACTGTATTTTTATTTCTTGCTTATAGAGAGAGCGAAGCGAAGACTTTAGTCAATACACGGCCACACGTGTCTTGTTCGGAAACTTCTACAACTTATACAGCGATGGAATGCAGTACTCCAGAAGGTAATTTTTTTTGCTTTTTTCAATCAATAGTTTTAAATCTTAAAGCCATATTACAGTAAAAACCCCCGAGTAAGAACCTGTTAGGCTAAAATTTGCCAGTTAGACCCCCTTCATAAAAAAAAAAACCTGTTTTGCGTACACTTTGAAATAGGTTCTTATGTTCTAAAATCTATAAAACAATTCTGTAGACTTAAGTAAGATACTTCTGGCAAGTAAGAGAAGTCAACATTCAGGATCCTCTTTAGAGAGATGGTTGCTTTATCACTCCAACTGTATTGTAATGGTTTAAAGATTTTACATAAGCAATAAGCTGAAGACCACTAAATACCCTTAGCTGCTATGTATTTGTTTTTCTTCGAAAATAACAGCGTAGATAGCCTAAATTTGTGCCAATTGCCATTTATTTAAGAATCTGCTCAGGCTAACTTGGGAAAATGCGGGTTCTTACTCGCGGGTTTTTATTTTATATCAAACTTATATTCCATGCATTACTCTAAGAAGGTAACGCTGTGCGTTAGTGGCCCATCTCTATCGTTACTGCGCGAAAGCATTCAAGGGATTCGAGTGAAGTGAAGTATTCGTGTTTGGTGGGGGGAGGGGGGGGGGTGGCTGTGATAAATGCTCAAGATCGTAGAAAGTGTATTTAGTTTACGCAATCGGAGACCCCGCCACCCCCTAGAAAGAGGAAGGGCGTTGAAGTAGCGGTTGTCGAAAGCCGTGTAGTGTGTTTTTTTCATCTCTATCATTCCATTCAGCTTCTAAGTTGAGTTTTTAATTTTATTCTTTATTTTAAACAGATGATGCTCCCTGTCCGACATCAGAGGGCACGCCAATGTCTGACTCCTCAACAGACAGTCCAATTATGGAAACATGCACCACCCCGCATCAAAGCGCAGAGGAACAGCCTCAGCTCGGCAGTAGCCTCGCCCCTCAAAAGAGAACAGTGCGGTCACTGAGCTGGGATACTGGAACCATGACTCAAACCAGACTACAGATCCTGTCGTGTGTGAGGAGGGAGCGTGATATCATCCTTAATCAGATCAGCAGTAGTACTCCATCCAGTCCCGTCAGTCGGTCCATGTGACTAGACCGGGGTAGTCACCTTTAGCCTATGCACAGGGTGGCTACATCAGGCCCGGATGATATTATTTTTCTGTACCTCTAAATGCAGTTTGGTGTGACGTTTTGTTAATGCCTGTGTTCATGAATTGCTCAAGGATTAGAAGGAGTATTTTTTCCACTCCGTTTTGGGTTTTTTGGTTTCATTCAGCAACGTAGCCGTTGAATTTTGGCATGAAGCTAACACGGTGAAGGTACTTTGCATGACAGCGGAAGTAACAAGTGCTTTACAGTACGTCACACATTGAAGAGACCATCGTAGTTGATTTAAAAATTGTGCCTTCACGATGATTTTTCGAAACAGAAAAGAGAATTTAACGTTAATGTTGAAGAGTTTTGTACAGTCTTTGTATTTGTTCTCAGTGAAGGCCACAAAATTTGTGAATACACTCGTCTCCTTTGACCCTTTTTTCCTAGCGTGGTTTTTTGTTTCCATTTTAATGAATATTTTTGGGGAATTGATGTAAAAAAAAAACATTCGATGAATGATAGATGTGATTAATGTCGATAATTCAATTTCGTAACAAATAAGCTATCAGAGTTCCTTCTATTTTGTCTAATTTCTTTATGACAGAAATGTTTTTGTTCGTTCGACAAATTTGTAAATAAAATTATCAAATTGAATTTCTATCTTATGTACAAATGATTTTTTTAAGTTGTAACAAAAGATATTAATTTTTTTTTGTCAAGAGCAATAATATATGTTAGCGATTCTGTACAGATACAGTCACAGATACGGATACAGCCACTAGACTCGCTGTTTTTCACGCTTTATATTGAAGAGTTATTTTTAATAAAGAGATGTTTATGTTCATATTTGGACAGTTTCTTGATTTCTGGCTACAGCTAGTTTATAAGGGGCTATGCATGAGAATATAACTGTTTTAGGTCAATTCTGTGCTTAAGTCTTTATTTACTACCTTTATCCATACAGATACGCCCCTGTGGAGCTATGAAGACGATATCAAACAACTTTGCTCCCGGAATTTCTAGAATTTTCGGTTGAATGGTTCGCATTGCGGAAATTATACAGTTTACGGAAATTCTGACAACTTTTTCCTGGAAAATTCTGTACCATTTGCTGCTGTGTCCAAATTTTCGAAAGTTTTGGTTAAATGACAAACGCCCAAGGTGAAAAGGGCGTTTTCATCCACGTGACCCGCATCCTTGCAAATTTATTGGAACAAAACAAAGCGTTTACACAAGAAAAGAGTTCAACTCTTGAACACCAACATGGCTGCAGTTTCACCAAATGGCCACCGCAACGTCAGGTGAAAACGGTCTATTGTGGGAGATGTGGAAATAGCGAATTTGAAGTAGATTATGTCGGAGAAGCGTGTAGCACCAAGGACAAAATGCCTCAACTAATTTTGATGATAATGCCATGCAGTCAAGGAACTTGACGGTAAATTCTCTCACGGTTTGTCGAGATATGTATGGGCATAAAAAACAACCCAAGGGTTGGGGGTGGGGTTAAGAAGTTCCCTCCGCTCTCTTCCTCCTTATTTTTTTATTGGGTTGACACGTGTGAAAACGACCGAGGCGCGTGTTCAACTGGCCGTCAGTTTTCTTGTTTCCATTCTCAAACGAGGGGTGATAAATAGGAGCGAGACAACAAAAGTCCAAGACAGCTTGGTTTTGATTGAATTCAGGTTTATATTGTTCCTATTTATGTACAAATACACTGCTTTATGAGCAACGAATCACTGTAAAATTTTAAGTGTTCCCAGTAATTCCATCTTCCTATTTACAAAATATGATATTTGTTATTTGAAAAGAGGTTTTACAAGCTACACTATATTACGATAACAATTACTGTTATCTCACATCGAGGAGAAAAATCTCCTCCCCCCCACTTCCACATCACGCGAAAAAAATAAAATGCTGCTACTTTCGTCTTTCCGTTCATTCTCTAAAACTTTGCTATTGATTTATACCCGTCTTTCTTCAAATTCATAGCAAAATTAACAATAACCTTCCGCTAAGACGCTATTTTGTATAACTGAAAAAGACGGGCCAGAATCAATTATTGGTTGTAATCTTTGATATCGTTATCTAGGCATTTATATCAGGAAATCACTTGAAAACTTGCGTTTCACAACAATTAGATTCAAAAGAACACTTAGTGTAACGAGATAAAGTGTACGAAAATTAAATACCTTAACCGGGTCGTAAAGGAAATATTTGATCAACAAACTTTAATTTGCACTCGTTTCCCACAAGAAGGCTCTTTGCTTTTCATTATAAGAGGAAAACTCTAACTGCGACTACCGAAAGCGTAAATCACAAGAACTTTGCTGTTTTCTTAAGTGTTAGCTGGAAAGACATAAATTATTTCTTTTACCTTTTTTTCTGTAGCTATAACCAACCAACCAGCAGGCGCAATTAAATTTTAAAAGGAAAACTAACTCACGTTGGATATATCAAAATTCTAACATGACTCCAAGGCATTCTGATCATGTTTCTATCATTTGTTTGTTTTTTTTGTGCTTAAGTTTCTTCTGGGAATTGCGAGACAATGGAGTCCTGAAAAATTTGCAATTTTGTCCCTAAAGCCTCGGAGTCATGTTAGAATTTTGATATATCAAACGTGGGCTATTAAAGGTCAATTTTCACTCAAAATGTTAATACATTGGTGGCATAAAATACGCGGGCGGTGGACTGTTTCGAGGGTCGTCTGCTAGTGTTGCATGGAAAGGTGGGGGCGGCTCATACACGACTGAAGGGCTTCTCTTCCCATAATCCGCCTCGTCCTCGTCGTCAGAATAAACAGGTTTGTTCAGTGATGTTTCTGAGATGTACGATGGCGGCAAACTCGGATCATCATCAGGCAGGACAAGTGGTTTGCCAGGAATCGGCTTGAGTTCAATCTCCGGTCCCAGCACTATGGGTTTACGCTTCTTGAAAGTCCGTTTTTCATTGGATGGTTTTGGTCTTCGGCGTCTACTATACCATATCAGGAGCACAGCTAAAACCACGACAACAAATACAACAAGCACGCCTACAAGGACGTGCTTATACCACAAGTCTTCGTCTTGCGTTGACTGCGCCCCTGGTGGTAAGGGAGTACCCTCATCCGTTCCATTGCACACTCCCAATCTTTGCTGACTCGCGCTTTCAACTGGAAAACCCTGCAAAGCATCCCGAAATTCTTGTGTAACCTGGCCGTCGGGTAGAAGCACCTTGTTCTCAACGTAGTCCACTTTCTCCACATCACACGTGTCTGTTGGTAGCGAGTCATTAGTCCAGGCCATGACCACTGATCCAGATGTAAAACTCAATACCCTAATTAGCGAACTATCGGAGTCACCATAATAATCAGCAATCTTTTTCAGCAGCAAAAGTCTTTCAGACACATTGCGACTAAACGCAATAAAGTCGTTCGTTGTTCTAATCTTCAGCTCCTGTACAATCGGTTTCTCAGACGGAACCACAAAGACTTCGAACGCGTCAAGGGCATCCGCACCCTGGCTATCCTGAGCCCGCAGTAAGAACCCTTCACCGGTTACCCCACCTGGCACATGCTCGCTAAGTGGTAGTCCGTAGATGGTTTGACTCGTGTTATCAAACTGCAGCCAGTAGTCTGTCGGAATGCTCGTCCCGTTGGCAAAGGAAACCGAAAGTGACAACCCACGTGTAGTCGCTTGGTCTTCGGCGTCGTAAAATGTGTCATCAGGTATGGTGTAGTATAAGGCTTTATCCGCGGGCGCGCTTACCCGCCCCATGTTGTTGTAAAGACGCGGTGGAGAATTGGCGGGCGCGGTGGTTGGTATGATGACAGATGAAGATGGCGTGATGCTAAGTGTCACGGAGGAATCTGTTGGCGTTACATTCCGAGTGAAGTTGGATGAAAAAGTACCTAAAATGGAGGAAAAAACAAGAGACTTGGAAAAGCTTGTTTGTGTAGATTGATATTTTGTAGCTAAAACCACAGTTTGAGAAATGCTAGTATAAGTACTAGAATGTTTGGAAAATAGGGAATTTTGGAAGGAATATGTTGTAGCTAAAACCACAGTTGGAAATTTACTAGGTAAAGAAATAAAAGTAAACGAAAAAGCTCCGGGACTTTGGCTTGAAACAATCGGTTGTATGGAGGCCGTGTGGGTGCCTAAAGAGAAAGTTTTTGAGAAATGCCATACCTGCGAAAGTGAGATAAAGTTTGAAGAAAGGTCTTGAGCAGACGCAAGCGAAAGTGAGGATTTAACTTTTCTGGAGGATGAAGATGTAACAAAGACGGAAAGCGAAAGACTCCGAAATGGGGTGGAGAAGGGTAAGGATGACGTGACATTCTGTGACTTGAAGGAAAGAAGACATGAAATGAAAGGTGTGACGATGGTGCGTGACAAGGAAAGCGAGGCTGTGTCAATGAATGACCCGGATGTAATGAAACTAAGCGAAATGGAGCTCTTAAAAGAGCTGTTAAAGATAATGTCTGACTTACGTGAAGCAAAAGTACTCAAGTACGGTGTTGACATGCGGCTTACAAGCGAGGATTTTGCCGATACCACAGGTGATATCGTAGATGTAAATTTAACAGAAGACGTTGGGCTACTTGTGGAAAGTCTTGAAGGCGAAGGACGCTGCAAAATAACACTTGCTGAAACTTGGCTGAATCTTGAAGAGGGAACTCCTGTCATAAGGCTTGTTTTATACAAAGCTGTTGAAGCTCTTGAACTACTCAAATTACTGGTTAAGCTTGCAAAAGTAGAACTTTCAACTGATAACGCAGTCCGCGAGGACAATGACTCAGCAGCAAAGGAAACACTGGATAAAAGGGATGTCGTGACACTAGCTCTGAGGCTAGAGGTCGAACTCTTCATCACAGAAGACAAACCTGGTGTCAACAAAAACGTCACGGTATTTGGCAATCTTGATGTCACGCTTAGATATGGCGTTTGTGACTCAGCGCTGGAAGTAAATGCTACAAAAGTGGCTGAAGATTTTTTGGAAAGTAGAGTCGTGACTATGATCTGGACAGTCATGTTACTGATCGGACTTGATATCGCGCTTGACTCATCTCTTCTTGACGACGCACTTAAAGATGACGCATGTGGCTTAGAACTTGCCAAGGTGAATGCTATGGAGCTAGCTGAAGAAAGTTTTGTAAGAACTGCTGAAAAACTTGCTTGCATAGTTGAAGTGACCATCTTGAAAGCACTAGATGTCACGCTTGGCGAAACGCTTATGAATGTCATCTTAGATTTTCTACTGGACGTTGTTGTGGCAGAAGTCTGAATGCCTGAAGTGACGCTTGGTTTAGCAATAGATTTAACACTTATCGTCTCTCTTATGAAAACGGCAGATGTCACAAAAGTGCTTTTTAAAGATGACCTTCCTTGTGTCGATTCAACACTTGGTGATTGCAGTGCAAAGGAAGATGGCGTTACTGGTGTTACGCTACGAGACATTGATGTCCTGTGCGTGAGAAGTCTACTAATCTCGGTCACTTTTGAGCTGTTTGCTCCAGTTATTACTGAGCTTCTTACCAAGTTTGTGGCCGCTAAACTACTGACTTCCGTGGCAATTGGGATCAAAGATGTTTCTACAGGACTAGCAGGTGTGAACTGTGAAGCTGTGCTGCTTTCTTGCGTGACTAAAGGCGTTACAGTGGACATGTTACTCACTGTAACAACACTACTTCTAATGAGGGAGGAAGAAAATCTAACAGTGGTCAACCTTGATCCAACAGTCGGTGCAATAGACGAGGTTATCACTAAGGTTCTGTCAAGGGTCATCAATCGTGTTGTGTTGTTGCGTGACAGGAGAGTAATTGCACCTTGGGATAAGAACACGCGAAATTACAAAGTGTAACGCAAAACAAAACCATATAAAAATTACGTTATTTAGAGAGGGTGACATCTGACAGCTCCAAGAACTGTTAAATCTGTGACCCACTGAGTGTCCTCAATTACCTGAAGACACTTTTTCCAGATCGAACTGGAACTTGGGAATGTTAATTTTTGGGAGAGGGGAAAAACCGTAGTACCCGGAAAAAAAATTCGCAGAGGAGAAGAAAATCAACAACAATCTCGCCAACGCCGGTACTCGAATCCAGATCACACTGGTAGGGGACCAACGCTCTCTAGTCCACTGCGCAACCGTCATATAAGAATTGGATCTCACTGCCACAGAATTAACACACAATACGTTGCTTAGAATATATAACCTGGCTAGCAATCCCTTAGGAACAACAATAAAAGGTCAAGCAAATCCAAGTGAATTCAAGTGGAAGGAAGAAAGAAAAGATAAGCACGTTGGAAACGTGTCAACAGCACCACACATGAGAATGAACGTCAGAAAAAAAGAAGTCAAAAGAATTTATAAAAATTTTAAGATCTTGAAACCCAAAAAGCCACATTAATACCACGTCTGGATGAAAACATTAAATAATTTACTAGTGCCTTGGCGCAATAGAAACGTAAGTGCTAAGTGCGTGGACAAATTTAATGTGCTTTCGTGGTGCGAACAAACTGAAATCTTACCAGTGGTTTCTTTAATACTTGTAATGGTCCTGTTGACTGATGTGCCTGTGGAACTAAGCTGTACAGTACTGAGTATCCTGGTGGTAAGCCTACTGCTTAAGTGAGGTGATAGTGTACTAAGTGCGGCTGTACGTGTTCTAGAAGATGTTTTCAAGTCTGTCTCCAATGTGCTTCTTGTGAATAAAGATGTACCAATGAGGCTTGATGACACTTGTCTGGTAAAGCTGGAAGGATTGGACACACTGGTTGATCTCGCCATGGTTACGGTTGGTATTCCTGTGACCGTTGAAGTGGACACTGTGGTAGAGCCGCTTATTTTCAATGAAGAATTCCCCTGTTCAGATGATGAGCTTGCAACAAGAGTACTTACAAATTCTGGAGAAACGTCACTGCTTAGTCTCAGCATCGAGGTAGAATTTTGTGAGCTCATGCTGGTCTTTAAAGTTCTTCTTGTGTCAACAGAAGTCATTGAAGTTTGTGATATCGTAGGAGAGGTTACCAAACTTGAACTGAACTCGGCTGAGCTCCGTGCAACGCTTAGAGTCACTCTTGGTGTTATAAATGTTCCGCTGCTGTTGGATATCGTCGTTGTTAGCCGTGTGGCTGCGGATGTCGAGTTTAATGAGGCACCAGTAGTGATCAACAACACAGATGAAGATCTTGTTCTCGACAAAACCACTTGAGTTAAGGCAGACGAATTTAACGGTATGTCCCTTGTTGAAAACTCTTGAGGTCTTGAGATCGCGGTGGAATTCAAGTTAACTTCAAAACTTGACACAGGGCTGGAGGGCGTGGTAGCAGAAAAAGAACTTGATATCTTTACCATGTTTTGCGTGCTTGCAATCTGAAAAGTACTTATTGAAACAACAGGGGTTGCTGTAATGTTGACAAAAGATTGATTAAGCCCAGTCGAGGTAGTAGCGATTACAGTTCCATTGGCAGCCAGAATACTCGAAAATGTTCGGCTTCCACGAGTCCTTGTCGATGAAAATGCAGAAGTTCCAAGCAGTGATCTATCGATTACAGACGTTGAATTCCCTAATGTTGATCTCTTGGCTGTGGAGGGCAAGTGTGAAATAGTATCGTAAATAATAAAATACTTAAAGCATTACTGGAATTGAGAAGTCCTTCCATAAAATCCATGCAGTGAGCATTCCATGCAAATAATTCGTGACGTTTGTCATGAAGACGTACTCATTTTTTCCTGACGCCGCTGAACAGATAAGGATGTATTAACACTGAAAACTTTAGAATTTGTTAAAAAAAAGCAAAAGAAATCAAACAAACAAATTGAAGATTTTTTGGCTGAATAACAGTTACATTCTGTCGCCTCTTGCTTGGCAAACGACAGTTCTTCCACACTCCAAGCTAGGAGTAAATGGTAAGTCTTCAGATCTCGTTTGAACAAAAAGCAAAAAAATAAAAAAAACACATGTGAGGTGTTTGTGCAAATGAATTCAAAGTGGGTGTCAAAAAGTCGAGAAGTACTTTAAAAGAAATGACTAAGTTATGAATAAAGAAGAGAGAGAACCGTCATGTTTCGTTTCAGAGAGTGGTTAATGATAGCAGCATCTGCTGGACTTAAGAAGATTAACTAAGAAAGAAGAGGAGAGCAAATGTGTTAATTTGCGTCACTGTCAAAACGTTTCGATTTTATCCCAATGATTGACTTAAAAAAATAGGTTTAGATATTCACGTTTTATGACGACTGATTATGCAACAATATTTTTTAGCAGTTTTCATTTATCAGCACAAAAAAGTTAAAATGATTTAGATGAAACTCCAAATTATCATCATCATCATCATCATTATTAATATTCTTGAAACTCTGTCTGAGAAAAGATTAGTAAGTTAATAATGGTTAACACTATTGTGAGTGCAATTTGAAAATAGAGCAAAAAAAACTCAAGAGCCTTTAAGGTAAAATATGTTGCTGGGGATTTAGGTGCCATCCTCAGTGACAGGGTTTACATAAGTAAAGAATCTGACTGACTGTATTTAACCAGTAAATGGCATTCAACCTAGTTTGATTCAGAATTTTCTTTTATTGTAGTGTTAGTTAAGAATTAAAATGTTCAGATGAGGCCTTAAACTGCTGTCCGTTTTTTTTTTTAAAAAATTCAAGCTTACACTGAACAACGGCATTGGCAAAAGCTTGGATTTTTATATTTTTTTTAAAATGGACAGCAGGTTAAGGCCTCATTTGAACATGTTATAATTTTTAATTACATCATGCTGCTGAAAGACAACTTGAACAGATTGTTAGTAGCCTTAATTATTTATAGGAGTCAAAGAAAATCTCAGTTTAACGTGAGAAAAATAAATTACAGAAATTTGACTAAAATAAAAAACTCAACGAGTATCCTGAAGGTGTCCCTAGTAACGCACGATGATTGTACATTGTATAATTTATAATGGCAAAATGTAAATCCTATTTTTGTAGCTGTTGATGATGTCTAGAAATTAACGTGTTAAGCCAGTCAGAATAGATTGTATGAATGGAGTGAATGTTACTTTAAAAACAACTAAAGATGCAAGGTAAACTTACCGGTGGTTGTATCCACTGAAATCGTAACACTAAAAAAAAAAATAAGAGAAAGATAAATCTCAATCCTTCTTTCAGGTTGTAAATTAAATTCATCTCATATCACGCTATTCCCTGGAAGTATCAGAAAGAAAACGTCAAAGCTTTTAACAAACCTACATGTGAAATAATCTTCTCTTTGTAAATCACAAGGGAACAGAACAAAATAACTTAACTGGAGCTATGTCCAGTATGAAATTACATGTACATTCTAAGGCTGCTAATTACTGGTAAACCTTTTTATTAAAATATATGTATTGATCCTATGGGGCACTTCTTGGAATACCTGGTGGGGGTGTGCCGCTCAGTTCTCCAAATCCTGATCCTATTTAAGGCCAAAACGTGCCGTTTTCCCCACCCATTTTCAGAGCTGGCTTCCTGAACGTTGTGCTCGGTTTATCAATCCATTACCTTGTTAAAACGAAGTTAACTTACTGTTCAAGCGTTTTTATCATTTAGCAGTTTTTGTATTAATTTTGACACTTAACTGTTTCATTTATTTATAGCTGAAACGAAAAATGTATTTATATGCACTCATGGTTCCCTCGAAATTGCAGACCACAATGGGCAAAATCTAGACCTGTTTGCAAACCAGACAGTTCAAAAACCATCCTTTGGGGCAACAAAACATACCTAATAACATAGCTCATATAAGGGAGGCCCCCCCCCCCCCCCCCCCCCCCCGCCGCACTTCTTTTTCTTTTTTTCGTTTTTTGGTTTTGCTTTTTTTTTTAGTTTTGTGTAGTTGCTTTAGGGCAACACAGAAACGTTGGTGTATTTCTCTATTTTGGGTGGTATGGTTTGGTGTTTGTGGGTGGGCTGTGTTGTGTGTGTTATTAGTTTTTGTCCTAGATCTGTTTTCTTGTGTCGTATGATATATGTTATTACCTCTGTTGCTTACACACTTTGTCTTGTCTCAACCCCATTACACCAAAACCGGGCAACACATAACCAAAACCATTCGTAACTTCCTACAATTCTTGCGCCATCAGTGAACATAATTTCACGGGTGCCACATCAGCGCTTAAAAACACCCCCCTGTGCGAAACAAACCGCTCCTACTCACCAAGACCATAAATAGTGGCCCCCCCCCCCCCCCCCCCCCCCCAGGTCTTGATGATGTTTCTTACCTTGTCTGTGTTGAGTTAGCACTTGTTGCAATAGGTGAAGATGTCAACGACAGCACAACAGATGCAGTTGTGACATTCATCTGTATGGAGGAACTTGCAATGTGGATGACGGATGTCATGTTTATCCTCACAGAACTTGCTGATGACACCAAACTGCTTGATGGCAGAATCAAAGAACTTGGTAGCGAAGATGGTGTCACAAAGGAAACGATACTGTTTGCAGATCCCTCAATGCTAGTCATCATTGGAATAGAAGAGTTCAATATTGGAACAGTACTGCTTATTGACAAATTGACAGTGCTGAATGGAAAAATGGTAGAGCTCAGTGACGGAACAACAGAGATCAAAGTCGGAGCAGAACTTTCTGATAAAATGTCAGTACTTGTTGAAATAATACTGCTCAGTGTTGGGACAACCGTACCCAATACAGCTGTGCTGTTTAATTGAGGAGTTGATGCATTTCCCATGAAAGCTGTAGTTTCAAGGCCTACTAAGCTTGATGGAGAAGATAACGATTTTGACAAAAAAGATGTAGAACTTGAAGTTACAGCTATCACACTAAGACTTGTTTGATTGACAGTGGAGCTTGCTTTTTGATTGACAGTGGAGCTTGCTTCTTGAACAGATGTGTTGCGACTGGATACAAAGCTGCTTGAGAGACTCACTGTTAAAGATGATTGCCTTGAGATTGTCAGTGACATTGCAGGTGATGTCGAGACATTTAATGGAGGTGTAGAAATTACCACTGAAGGAGGTGAATGTGTTGTGAGATGTGGTGAGGCACTTGATGTTAGCCTTGATGATACTATCAATACTTGTTTGCTGGAAGGAGTAGCAAATGAAGATGTTCTTGTTTCTAGTGAACTTGATACTTGAAGTGTTGGGGATGTTAATGTAAGATTCAATGAAGATGTACCAACTTCTGAGGACGTCAGCACTGTTCTATTATTTAATGAAGGAAGAGCAGAAGAGCTGGAACCAATGGCTGTTGTTTCATTTGGTGATATGCTTGAGCTGTTTCTTGCTGGCAGTGATGAACTGAGAGTGAGAAATGAAGAGACAATGGCCCTTGTTACTGTTCTTGTTATAAAAGTTGAATTCTGTGATTGGCTGAGAATGGAAGATGGCATGATCAGGGCAGTTCTGTTTACAGAAGACATCAATTCTGAACTTTGAACAGGCACTGTTGTATTTCTTGATAATATCACCGTAGAACTGTTTATTGACACTGACTTCGTACGCATGATGGAACTGGGTGAAAAGGATCTTGCAGAGCTGGTGACATTGGCAAAAACAGAGGACTGTATGTCAGTTCTGCTTGGCAACTGACCTGTTCCTGTTGTTGTGTTAGCACTTATGGTAAAAGAACTGACTTCTGTTCTGTTCAGAACAACACTTGACACAGATGCTGTTGATTTTGAGGTTATGGCGACAGTCCTTGAGATAATCACAGAAGTGGACATATTTGATATTCTTGAGGGAAGGGCACTTGATGGTATGGGCGTGGCAGTCACACCCATTACCTGACGCCTCACTCTGTGTTTAGCCATGTTCTTCTGAGTACCTGACATGACATGCCATCCCACCACAGGAACACCAAGTAGACTACTTATGCTTCCATCCTGAGCATTGGTTTCTAGTTTAGAGAATGCTACTTCATCAAGTTTGATAGCACCACAGCCCATGTGCCATGTAAGCAAGCTTCTGGAGCCCTTGGAAAACCTGCCATCTCCTGCACCAGCTGCCATCACTACAGGATTATCAAGCTGCCCAATGAGTGGATGAGTAGCTTGACCAGAAAATAAGCTAACTTTACTTGAATGCACGTTTAGGTGGTCTGCCATCTTTAGTAACAACACCATCCGTTCATGTCCATTCATATTGTGCACATCGACATTCAAAATTATAGTGCCATGGATTACTTGGCTGCCAGGAACACAAGGCAAACTTTGAACAGTCTTGATGTTGCTGCCTGAAGTGTCAGTGCTGGGGTAAACAGACATCACCAATTCTTCACTGACAGGTGCAACTTTGATGAAGAAGGATCTTGACCCACAAACACGACCTCTGACCTCATCTCCATCCCTTGACAATGCTACCACCAGAATGTTGTATGTTCCTTCATCCTTCTCTGATGGAACGCCATATAGCTGTCTCTTGTAACTGTTGTAGGCTAGCCAGTGTGAAAGAAACCTGTCTGCAGTTTCTGATACCTGTCATGAACAAAAAGTAAATTAAATCCACATCATTTTGTTTCTTTACCTTTCTAACAGTTACAGAGAATTTGTCAACAACAGGGACATGTGAAGAGGTGGGGAGGAGGGAGGAGGGTAAGGGACGCCTTTAAGGTTGGAGGCCACAGTAATACACTACCAAGCATGGAGGGTAAAAGCATACATGGCACTATTCACATTTTCACACCAAGTCTTGAACATGAGTATCAACATTGTCCTAATAAACGTTCACTCTAAAACTGGGGCAAAAAAAAAACCTTGTAACCTAGAATGTAACCTCCCAAAAGTTGCCTCTAGCAGTGTATTAAGTATAAAGTAAGATACGTTAAACCCAACTTTCCTGAAAAGCTTATTTCAAACCCCAAATAAAATGTTATGTCTCAGTCACTAACTTGCTGGCCATCTCCTGGTTCATTTTACATTGCCCCCTGGGATGAGCTGAACAGTCGAGGTCAAGTCACAGAAGACACGTTTCAAACCAGATTCAGTTGGAACAGATCCCAAGCCCCAAAATGATGTTTTCAACTTACTGTATCTTTACTTACCACAAAGCTTTCTACCTCACAGTCAAATACTTCCTCTGAAATGTTGTAAACAAAGGATGAACCAACATATACCATTGTGTTTGGTAGTTGCAGACTTTTCACCGAAGGGGTAGGTTGTAAGTTGTCTTGACATGATGCCAGAGGCAATGAAAAAAGTCCTCCAAACAAGACCATGGAAAGCAATCCCCCTAGAGATGATAGCCTTGGATTTTTTCTCACAGAAAACGTCCTAGCTAAAATTTGTATACTTTGCTGAATGTAGTTTGAAAGCAGTAATATCAAAGCCATCCATGGAACTGCATTGAGTAACGTCCATTTAGCAAAAGGTTGTGATAAAGATTTCCTTCTCCATGGTTTACACTTTAAGTTTCTGTTACATGACAAGCATGAGTCCACAAAAGGATGTAAAATCTGCATTAAAGCAGAACATCTTTGATGTCCCTGATGAACTGTAGATTTTCCATATGATTCAAATGTCCTGTTATTCTGCAAACAACACGAACACGGTGGCCATTCTGTGGGTATCATCTCCAGTGATGGGTCTTGTGACAGAATCCAAAACTTTCTTTGTGTCTATTT